TGGAATACTGTCACCTCCACTAGCTTTGTTGTTGCTCAGACATCCTAGAATGTGAAGTCAAATGGGCCTTAGGAAGTCTGAGCAACAACAAAGCTAGTGGAGGTGACAGTATTCCAGCTGAGCTATTCAAAATCTTAAAAGACAATGCAATAAAAGTGCTACACTCAATATGCCAGCAAATTTGGAAAACTCAACAGTGGCCACAGGATTGGAAAAGGTCAGTTTACATTCCGATCCCAAAGAAGGGCAATGCCAAAGAATGTTCAGACAACTGCACCATTGCACTCATTTCACACGCTAGCAAAGTTAAGCTCAAACTCCTACAAGCTAGGCTCCTGCAGTATGTAGACCGAGAACTACCAGAAGTACAGGCAGGATTTTGAAGAGGGAGAGGAACTAGAGATCAAATTGCCAACATACGCTGAACCATGAAGAAAGCTAGGGATTTCCAGAAAAACATCTACTTCTGCTTCATTGACTATGCTAAAGCCTTTGATTGTGTGGATCGCAACAAATTGTGGCAAGTTCTTAAAGAGATGGGAATACCAGACCATCTTATTTGTCTCTTGAGAAAGCTATATGCAGGTCAAGAAGCAACAGTGAGGACTGGACATGGATTGGTTCAAAATTGAGATAGGAGTTCGACAAGGCTGTATACTGTTGCCCTGCCTATTTAACTTATATGCAGAGCACATCATGAGAAAGGCGGGGCTGGATGAATCACCAGTTGGAATTAAGATTGCTGGGACAAATATTAACAACCTCAGATATGCAGATGATACCACTCTAATGGCAGAAAGTGAAGAGGAACTAAAGAGCCTCTTGATGCGGGTGAAGGAGGAGAGTGCAAAAGTTGGCTTGAAACTCAACATTAAGAAAACTGAGATCATGGCATCCGGTCCTCTCACTTCCTGGCAGGTAGATGGGGAAGAAATGGAGGTAGTGACAAATTTTATTTTCCTGGGCTCCAAGATCACCGCAGACGGGAACTGCAGCCAAGAAATTAAAAGACGCTTGCTCCTGGGGAGGAAAGCTATGGCAAATCTAGACAGTATACTAAAAAGCAGAGACATCACCCTGCTAACAAAAGTGCATATAGTCAAGGCTATGTTTTTCCCAGTTGCAATGTATGGCTGTGAAAGCTTGACCATAAGGAAGGCTGAGCGCCGAAGGATTGAGGCCTTTGAGTTGTGGTGTTGGAGGAGACTCCTGTGAGTCCCTTGGACTGCAAGGCGATCAAACCGGTCAGTCCTAGAGGAGATCAACCCAGACTGCTCTTTAGAAGGCCAGATCCTGAAGATGAAACTCAAATACTTTGGCCACCGAATGAGAAGGAAGGACTCCCTGGAGAAGAGCCTAATGTTGGGAACAATAGGAAAAGAAAAAGGGGACGGCAGAGGATGAGGTAGCTAGATGAAGTCACTGAAGCAGTTGGTGTGAGCTTAAGTGGGCTCCGGGGAATGGTGGAGGACAGGAAGGCCTGGAGGAATGTTGTCCATGGGGTCGCGATGGGTCGGACACGACTTTGCGACTAACAACAACAACAACAACAACAACAACAACAACAACAACAAGGTACCTTTACAAGAACTGTACTTAATATTAGGAACTCATTGAGCATAACTTTTAATAGATGTTGGAGGGGCAGTGTGGGGGAAGGAACAAAACTGCATCTACAATGGTGGCTAGATCTTTAAAGAATTTTAAATCAATTACTGTTTTAGATGAAGCTGTTAACGCATCTACGTTCAGTTCCCACAGAAATGGGATCAGGTCTTTACACAAAGAGATGACTTGGCAACCTGTCATGGGTGGCCAGCCATGGTGGGTTGTTGTGTCATGAGAACCTGGACTTCTTCCCGTAGGGTGGCTTGTTCACAGGCAAGTAGACACCCTGACAGCCCATGGCTTGATCTAGGGGTGTCGCACAATGTACCACAGTGGGTTGTGGGGTCATCCAAATCTGGATAACCAATCCTATTATTATAGGAACAGGCAAGCAAGCTTCTTTGGTGGGCTCTCACAATCACCCTTTTGGCAGTCACTGACAGCACCTTCAACGTGTCCATGCAGCACCTTGGAGGGTCTGTCCATGGTTACCATTTTTTTTCCTTGACCACCTAATGTGCAAAAATATATGTGCAAAAATATATTTTTGCACATTCCTCCTCCGGTGTTTCACAAGCATGCAGCTGTGCAGTTGTGGAGGTCCAAAAATGGGGGAAGTGCACACCTGGGAGAGACTGGTTTATATAAATAAAGTGCAAAAATGATGTGCTTTTTAGCAGGTCCAAAAATGGGGGTGGGGGGATCTCAACCACAGATAGACCCCTTTAAGATGCTGCTTGTAGACTTCCAAAGGGCGGTCAGGGGCTGTCAGAAAGGGATTGTGAAAACCTGCTGTCAAGCCAAAGATGAATCTAAGGCAGAAAAAAAAGTCTGCAGGAAACTAGGCAGAAGAAAGGACTGGACCTTCCTCTCTCCTGGCAGCAATGAATGGAAAGGTGACAGAGGACAAGCTATCGGAAGACGACTGGAAGCCTTTAGGGGGAACTGGTGGAGCAGTTGGAGAACTGATGAGTGGGGTTGGTTAATATTCTTGCTGAAGCTTGTTGATTTTTCTTATTGGAATGTGGGAGGGCTATTGGATTTAGTTATACATCACTAGGGTGCCCATGTGCCCTTTTTACAGAGGACAGTCCTCTGTAAAAGCAGGGAGAGCAAGGAGCTTGAAGATGCTCATCAGCAGTTAGCATCTGAACAGCACCTGGTCACGAGACAAAGGTCACCTGGTCACAGTTTTCAAAACTAGAGTAAGATGCACTTTATTTCAATTTAAATTATAATAATAATTTCTAAACTTGCATCTATACATATAAATATGTCAGAGTTACACACATTAACATTCTTTTTGTCTCTTTTTTGAAGACTCGTAAGTGACTGCCATATCATCATATGTCTATCTATATGTAATGTGTATTTAGGCTGAAACCACACATGGTAATGGCTGATTGGATAATACTTCTGATCTGCTTTCATATGATTACAGAAAACCAAAGCAACCAGACAAATTAAACAAAAATAGACCATGCAGGTCTTTTGCTCTCTCAGTCGGTGGCCTCTTTTGGTGTCCTACCAACTGACAAAGTAGAGTATCTCCTCATATTCCTTCTAAGATAGTGGTATGAAGTATATATGCTATATCCTATACATTAGCAGTAGTATATATAATTGTGTGTGCGTGTATGCAGGGATGCATTTATATTAACAAGAATATTATTTTACACATATGATAAAGTATGCAAAATAGAGTCTTTCCTTGCCCCATTCATGATTTTCATCATCACTTTTATTTCCAGACAGATTGTATTCTAGCACTGTACCTGTGAGAAGGATGGACATTCTGTTGGGGATGAAGCTGAGCAATGCTAATATTTTTACTTTTCCGGATTCTTTTCTTCTTTGCTCAGAGGTGGAAGAACAGAAACAGGACTTGCATTGAAATACATTCTTCGGAAAGGATTCCATGGAGGAAGGAATTCATTGGTCCGAAAAATCCTCGTCATCCTAACAGATGGGAAATCCCAGGGCAATGTGGGGATACCAGCCAAACAGTTAAAAGAAAATGGGATAGCCATCTTTGCAGTGGGAGTTAGCTTTCCAAGGCAAGTATCTTCTACAGCAGTGGTGGCGAGCCTATGGCGAACATGTGCCACAGCAGGCATACAGAGCCCTCTCTGTCGGCACATGAGCCAAGTCACCCCAGCGTCACCCCAGCAGCTGAACATCAGATAACAGCGTACATACGGGCCATGCGCATGCTCGGAAAGGAGTAGAGGTGCCAGGCAATGACATCACAAGCTGTAATTCATTAGCCGTGACTCGTCTGAACTTTTGCATGGCCAGTCAGTGCACTGCCAAGGATATGTGTATATATATATTTGCTTGGACTGGCTATGAGGTGTTTTTTCTAAACTTATACCTCTGTTTTTGGGTTTTATTGTAGTGTTTGCATTTTGTGATAAATAAGTGGGTTTTGGGTTGCAGTTTGGGCATTCGGTCTCTAAAAGTTTCACCATCACTGTTCTAGAGTGTTCACACAAAAGAAAAGCCATGCTGGATTGGACCATGGTGCATCTTGTCCATTATTCTGTACATGTACATGCAGTTGCATCCCAGCTGCCCACAGGATCCCTCAGACTGGATATGTGCAAGACTCCACCTGCCCAGGCTCCTCAGCAGCTGGTGTATGCAGGCAGGCCACCCTCCAGTAAGGAGGCAGCACCCACCCAGCAAAGCTAGTAGCCACTGGTAGCCTCCCCCCTCATGGATCTGTCCATCTGGGATGGCCTGGTGCATTGATATTGAAGCACCAATGCTTGAAGAAAAACTTGCACTGGGATTTGGTTGGATTCATCAGTATGGATACAGGGCTGGGTGTGGGGGTCATAGTGCTGGAGCTCACAGGTGCTGAGTGTTCTGCGCACCTGCAAATAAGGCTTAGGTGTGTGTGCATCTGATATTGGTAGCGTGACATGTACTGGTAAAGTTGAGCACTGGAAGATGTTTTGTCAAAGCAGTTGTGCAAAGAGAAATGTTTGTACAAAGAGAAATGTTTCCACGTTTAAAGAGTGTTAAAGACTGAAAAACCACAGATCTTGCTGGGCTCCTTTGTGCTGCTTCTTGTAGCTCAGTGGCAGAGCACAAACGTTGCATGCAAAAGGTGCTGGGCACAATCCCTGGCATCTCCTGGTCAGACAGGAAAAGGCCCCTTCCTGAAACTGCAGAGAGCTGCTCCCACTCAGTGCAGAGCCAGAGGTGAGCAACCTCAAGACTGGGGTACTAATCCAGCCGAGTTGTGCTCCAAATTAACCAGAATCTGGCTCGCCTGTCCTTAGCCCCCACCACTCTCTCCAGAGCACCAGTCATTGTGTGGTGTACCTGCTTTTTAGCCTGTTCTAAACGTGTGAAATACTTGTCCTAAGGCTTAGTTACTGGCAGGTAGCTCTTTATACTAAACTCTCTTGTATTTTTGAAGCTGCTGGGTTTCCTTTGCTCCCCCGCCTACCCCATTTTTGGAGCAGCTAAGGGTTTCCTCAAAAGCAAAAGAAGCCCTCTGGCTGAAAATAGTTAAGTACAGGAAATGCAGGCAATGCTGAGCTGGATTGATGCTCTCCTTTCTCCTTGTCTGTATAGATATCGCATGCTCTTTTAGCTAGCTCCCAGCACTTCACTGTGAATTCTGAAAGCTGCTGTGATTAAATTACTGCTGTGCTACAATGATTTATTTGTTGCACTGATTTTCTTTCCAGATGGGAAGAATTGCACGCATTGGCCAGTGAGCCGACTGATCGGCACATACTCTACGCAGAAAACACAGACGATGCCTTGAATGGCCTCTATACCACTCTTACTGGCTCTGCAATCTGCAGAGCTGCATTTCCAGGTAGTGGAAGTTTTGCTTATGTGCTGATCAAGCAAGTTTGATGTTCTGTTTTAATTTGGGCACCAGCTGTAGTTGCATAGAAATTGAATGCCAAAGCTCTTTTTTCTTTTTGGAAGCCTGCATTTCTAATCAGGTACCTTTTCTCTCCATGTGAGTTTGAATATTATGACAACCTGTGAAAAAGCTGTTCTGTATGGATTGTTCAGCCCCAAACAAACAAACACCCTACAGTGCACCCAATGGATAATTAGGCTTATGATTAGGACTCCCCCCACTCCCCCCAATATACCAGCATGCACGGACATTCACCAAGAAAGGCAGCTTATAACTTACGTTATGCACACTTGACAGCTGTCCGTTGAAAAATAAAGTGACAAAGGGTTCTACCGCTTGCAGGAGATGAAAGTCTATTTTCCCTTTAGCAGCCTGATTCTCTAGGTTTTTAGTTCTCGCTCCCCTCCACCTTTTCCATACTTCCCCAATCCTTTAGGTACTACAGAAAGTGAACAACGGCCCCATGCCCCCTTTTTGTGAGCACCTAAATTTGACAAAGTGACTCTTTTAAAGTCCAAAAGAGAGTGCACTCGCTTGCTTGCTCACTCACGCGCTCGCTCGCTCTCTCTCTCTGTCAGATGAGAGTTCTTTAAAAAAAGCAACAACAACCCTATCTGGCAAATATGAGCTGTCCCGAGGCTATGTAGCAAGGGGACGGCATTATATGGTGTTTTTATATGCTGGGGGTGGAGGGAGAGGGAGAGGGAGAGAGGGGGGGGGCAGTAGGCAGTGGCTTCTACTGGTCCTCCTTTTTACCACCACCATTAGCTGGACCAGGGCAAGAGGCAGACAAACAAGCCAGTTTGTTTGTTTGTTTGTTTGTTTGTTTAGAATATTTGTATGCCGTCCTTTCACAGAGCCTCAGGACAGCTTACATAAAGTCCTTCAGTTGCAGTGCTGAAGAGGAGAAGCAAGTCCGGCGGGCTCTTATCAGTGGGCCCCTGCTTGGCAGGAGCCTATCCATGATAACCCTTGATGTCAGTGCACTGCCAGTATCCAAAGAGTGGTAATCCTGCAGAAAGCAACAGGACCACTGCAAACATTGGCTAAAGACTTTGACATCTATGGGTGGATGGTATCTTACTTAGTTTGTGAATGGGATACACTAAGAAAATGTTAAGCCAATCTTCCCTAGCCTGGTCTCCACCAAAGCTGTAGGAGTGCAACTCAGCCAGCATGGCAGTACAAACTGGTGCTCTTCGTATAGGCTGAACTATAACTCCCACCTGGATTATCTGGAGGGCTCCAAGTTAGGGGAAGCTGTTCTCAGGGATATGATCTTTTCTGCCACTTCCCTGCATGGCTTATCAATAAGTAGCCAATCAGTTCTTTCCCCTCCCCAGTTTCTTTTGATGGATAAGATTGCAAAGTGGGGAAAAGAGCCCCATGATCACAGAACCAAGAAAGCAGCCAGGCACCTGGCTTTCTCCTTTATTGCTCTAACTGGCAGCAGCTCCCTGGGGGCTCAGTCAGAGGACTTTGCCATGGCTTTTTACTGGATTATTTTAACTGAAGATGCCCAGGGGTAAACCTGACCCCTTCTGCATGCACTCCAGGCACTCTCCCGCTTTGCTGTGGGCAGTGGGGGCCAGGCGCAAGGTTATTCTCTTCTTGTCTCAGGCTGCAAGACGGAATCTCACCCTTGTGAACACAAAACACTGGAGAGAGTGAAAGAGCTGGTTGGAAACTATTTCTGTTGGAAGGGATCAAAGAGCAGTCATGCTGTTCACACATCACTCTGCCCATTTTACAAGTGAGTCAGTAATCATACTTCATTTCTTTTTATTTTTTTAAAGTCAAGCTTTCTCACTCAATACTTTACTGGGGATCAATTGGACATGTATTAGATAATACAGTATCTACTCATTCCTCTGATGCCATTTTTAAAGGAAAAGAAGTATTAAATCATAAATGAAAAAATCATGCTGAGAAAGGATTTGTATAATTGTCAAAAATCCACAGCCCAGCACTATATTCCAGAATGGTGTGAGAAACATCCATAAAATGATCAAACCATTTCTTTCCATAGCTAAGGCAATCATGGATAACAGTTAATAAGGAAGTCTTCTCCATCAGAGAATCGGTCAGGACCTTCTTACATCATTGTCTTCTTCTAGCTCTTACAAATCACCTAGAAAGGAAAAGATAAGAACAGTGAGAAACAGGAAATGAAGTGAAGAGGAAGTCATAAACTGGATTCATAGCAGAAAGGGGCATATGAATGTGAGAAATGTGTAGGGAATCCTGTAGCTAAACCAGAACATGCTGGCTTTTCCCATGGCTCCCACTTGCTACACTGGTCCTAAAAGTTAAACTTATGCAATGATGCTATCCCAAGAGTGAAGAAGAAACATTTTATATGCTGAATGTATTGAAACTGAGAGAACATTTCTTAACTGGATTAAGCTCATAAAAGTCTGACTAGAAATACTCCCAAGTAAAATGCAAGACTAATAAAAGAAGTGAGATAAGGAAGAAAGGAGATCACCATATCTTAGGAGAATTGCAAAGTCAGAAAATCCATAGATTTTTTAAAAAGGTTGATGCAGATACAGGACTCATCTTTACATTCTTGCATTTTATCAGATGTCACAACGGATTAGTTTGCAGGCAGTAAAAAAAGTGCCTGGCCCAGCTGGGCCTCCTACATAATCCAGGTCTCTTCCGATGCTTTTTATGCATCTTGGTTGGGCAAAACACTTATTCCCTGTCCTGCTTCTTTGACAGCACTAGAAGATTGTCGCTGATATAGGGTAAGGACTCAATCACTGGCAGGAAATAGTCCTTGCTCATATTGCAGTCAGTGTTAAGCCTCAAGTTCTCAAACACAGAGGCTATATTGTCAGTTCCAAGGCAGTAGACTGAGCAAGAAAATTCTCCTTGTGCTAAGATGAGGCTGTATATAATATTCAAGATAAGTAATGTTTAATCTTTTGTTTCTGCATCTAAAGAAGGCTTGAAAAGATGTCATATTTCCTTTCACAGTTGTCCTGCTCATTTCCTCATATAAATAAAGGTCATGTCTGCTGGGAATAAGCAGGCATATGACTTCCTTGCCTGGAGGAAACCTTATTAAAGCCAGTGGGACTTAATTCTGAGTAGATATGGATACTGTTGATATTTTAAGTGAACTGGAATGCCTCACTTCTCTTCATAGCTTTTTTCTTCATGCCAGCTTATCTAAATCTCATGTTTTGTATTCTGACTTTTCTAATTAAGCTGGAGAAACATTTTCATCAAGTATCCATCTAGATGTTACCGAACCACATGCCCAGGTAAGATATGGTTTTCTGAAATCTTGATTACTGTTTCTTCAAACTAAAAATAAGGGGCAGTTAACAGATGTTGGGATGTATCCAGATTGTTCTTCCAACCATGATAATGTTCCTTATTCAGGGTTCACCAGTGAAAGACAAGGGAAGGGAGGAATTGTGCCCATTTCCACCTTCTCTGCTCCCCTGCACCACCTTTTCCATCATTCTGGAGTGTTCCCCAAACACTGTGGAATACATTTTGGGAGGAATATGGAGTTGAAATGACCCCTGCTGAAAGTGAAGGAAGAAAGTTCAAAAGCCGAATATGCAGCTGAATATTAAGAAAGCAAAAATCATGATTACAGAAGAATTGCAGAACTTTACTGTTTACAATGAAGATAGGGAAATTGCAAAAGACTTTACCTACCTCAGCTCAGCCATCAATTCAAAGGGAGACTGTAGCCAAGAAAATTGAAGAAGACTTGAGGCTTCGAAGGGCAGCAGTGAAAGCATTTGAAAAGATCATTGAGTATAAGGATGTTTCACCGGAGACCAAGGCCAAAATCATCCATACTACTGCATCCTCAATCATTATTAGTGAAGAAAGCTGACCAAGAAAATTGATGCATTTGAAACACCATGTTGGAAGAGAGCTTTGTACATGCCCTGGACTGATGGAAAGACAAATGAATCAGCCCTGGATCAAATCAAGCCACAGCTTTCCCTAGAAGAAACAAGGACAAAACTGAGTCTGTAATATTTTGGACATAGTATGAGAAGGCAAGACTCCCTGGAGAAGACAATCATCCTAGGAAAAGCTGAACACAAAAGAAGAAAAGGAAGACCACATATGGGATGCCTTGACTCTAGGAAGGAAGCTACAGCCTTAAATTTACAAGAGCCGGGCTTGTAAATTCAAGGCTGTAGCTTCTTTTATGGAGGAACAAGCAGGACTTTTTGGAGGGCTTTCATTAATAGGGTCACCATAAGTAAGAGATGACTTGATGGCACATAACAACAGGGAGCTACAGGGAAAGAAACTCACCAAGCGTATCTTCTTCCGCATTTCCCCTACTGGATTAAAACAAACCATTCAGCCCACAGAAAGCACATTCCATATCCAGACCATTTTTATTAGCATAAGCATCAAACAAGCCTAGGTTATAGGTTGAGTTCTGAATGAACCTTATTTACACAAACTTTGGAAAGTAGCCTCTGCATCGGAATTGATTTAGTATGGGAAGAAGCTCACCATTTTAATTTTAGGAAACTTCATTCTATAAAGTCCATTTTCACTATACAGATCAATGGTTAACTTTCTCATATTAACCTGCATTGAAGAAAAAACACCAAATCATCCACAATGCATACAGTCTTTCTTCTCTTCCTCCCTCTCCCCACACACACACACACTCTTGATAAATTAGTCCTATTACCAAAAAGCAACATACTCTGAATCTGCCAAAATATTTTAAATCTTGGTCAAAAATTTTAAATTGAAACCAGTCAGGTTTACAAAAATAATAAAAATATAAAAAGTCATGTGATCATAAATCACATTCACTATTCTAAATTCAGCTGTTTAGGCAGATGGCCTACTTCATCCTACTTGCCTCACTTAACATCCTTTGCTCTAGAAGTCTGTTTATATCAACATATTCAGCAGTACACCAGTACAGTTAGTATAGTTAGTCCTCCTCCTCCTCCTCCTCCTCCTCCTCCTCCTCCTCCGCCTCCTCAATAATGATGGTGATAATGATGGATTTTTCTTGTTTATATTACAAGGTACACCACCACTGGAAACCAAACAGGGATATGGAGTGATTAGATTAGATTGTACTATTGAAATGTGGTCAACTTTTGCTAGAGCCTCATCTTGCTTGCAGCTAAAACTGACTAGATAAGAACTTAAATGACTCCCTCACACCACTGTCTCTCTCCTGGTTTTTAGATCCTTGTGATTCCCACCCATGTCAGAATGGAGGCACATGCATTCAGCAAGGTTTAGAAGGATACTACTGCGTCTGTCCAGTCGGATTTGGAGGAGACGCTAATTGTGGTATGTTGTTTCATCTTAGGCAAGAATGATTTGGTTTTTAAAATGCCAGGAACATCAGTCGGCTTCCTGCAATGGTTCTGGCTATCATTATTATGTTTGTTGTATGATAGGGAAGAGCAGGAAAGTAGAATGGCTGGGAAGTTTAATTAAAAATAAGTAAAATGTCACAGAAAATATTTTGGAGGAGGTCTGTTTGTTTTTACTTCTTGTTTTTGGTAGCGGATACTTAGCCAAAGGTTGTGATCCTGCTCACATTGACTGGGAAGAAGGTTCCACTAAAGTCAGTGGGGGTTACTTCAAAGTCAGTGTATTTAGGGACAGGTTTGCAAGATTACTGAATATATTGTGATTTTAGGGCATTTGGGTTCTAATCCTATATCCAGTTACCTAGGAGCAAGCCCAATTCAGTGGGACTTATTTCTGAGCAGACATGTGTAGGATTGAGGTTAAACATTGTTTTATGTCTTCAATAAGATTGCTAAACTTTTCTGAGTGTGCTTTCTTCTCCATATCCAAAAAGTGGGTGTCCCAGAGAGACAGCAAATGTCACAGTTTTTGAGGCTGTTAATTGGAAGTACTCAAACTACAGGATGCAAAATCACAAGTTCTCAATAGCCTTTATACATATGTCCCATGAATAATGGGATTGTTACAAAGATTGTTTCTGCTAGGAATATCTATGAAGCCACAAATCAATTAATCCATCATTGGTTGCATACATTTGTGCCTGCCATGTTACTTCTTACTTGTCCCAGAGAAGTCTACTCATGTTGAGATTTTGGGAAGACATCAAGCTTCAGTGCTTTCTGCTCTTCTCCTCTCATTATAGGTAGAAGCAGCAGCTGAACCAGGGAGATCCCAAATTTTTCTTGAACTAGTATAATGATCAGCACATATTTCACATATTGCTGTTGATTGCAGCCCTAAGCCCATCCTAATGCCATCCTATTCCTATCCTATATATGGCAATATTTGAAATGAAAAGCTGGCAGGCCCAAGTGATCCTAGCTTGGTAATGTCCGTAGGTTGCTACACGATACCTTAGAAGCTTCTTGTTCTGCTTTCATTTCGGTATCTGGTTTGTGGGCTAATTTTTGACCATTTTTCAGCCCCCAAGCTGAGTCTAGAATGCACTGTGGACCTCCTTTTTCTGGTGGACAGTTCATCCAGCACCACCCTGGAAGGATTCTTGCGCTATAAAGCTTTTCTGAAAAGGTTTATGCAAGCAGTGTGGAGTGGTGAGACTCTGAGTGACGTGGGTGTGGCCCAGTATAGCAACAATGTCAAAGTGACGGTAGCACTGGGGGACCCCAAAGACATGTCCAGCTTGGTGAAGGCCATCGATGCCATGCAATTCAGTGGAGGGAGCACCCTGACCGGCAAAGCTTTACGGTACATTACACAGCATGGGTTTAAGAGTGCGGCAGTCTTTGCTGATGTCCCTGACAACCTGCCCCGGGTGGTCATCCTGCTCACAGATTCGAATGCTCAAGATTCAGTGGTGGAAGCAGCTAAGTACAGCAGAAGCCAAGGGATTTTTCTCATTGGAATCGGCAGCAAATTTCTGAGAGCAGAGTTGGATGAAATTACAGGGAATGCAAAGTGGACCATTCTCTACTCAACCCCACAGGACCTATTCAACAAGATTACTGAGCTGCAGAGAAAAATCTGCATCATAGAGAGTCAAGGTAAGTGTTCTAGGTAAGGACACAGTACAAACTGGTATCTGTTGGTGCCTAATATTGGTTGGCAGTACAACTTAAACAGGCTGTTATAGGAAATGTATTCCAGCACTTACTTGAAAATAGAACATGGGGAAAAAGAAGTCACCTCTCTGCAAAGTTCCTGGGGTCCAACTTGTGTGAAATGAAAAAAACAAAAGCAGTTCTCTCATGTTTATCTAACTCGTTTTCCAAAAACACCTAAGTAGGTGATGCTATGTTTTTCCTTTGAGATGTATTTCTGGCCAGGAATCAGAGGGAATTGATTTAGGTCTTAAATTACTTTCTTACATGATAACATGTCTAAATAGCTTTCCTGTTTCAACTGGAAGGCTGTTTCTATTGGGTCATCTGTTTAGAAATGTATGAAAGACATTTCATTTGTTACATTTTTATCACACCCTTCTTCAAGGAACTGAGGTTGGTAGGCATTGATCATTATGCAGACCTAGTCTGCATCAGTTCCATCTTCCACTATTTTATCCTAGCATCAACTTTTTCAGTAGGTTAGGCTGAGCGGTTTTGTTTGGTCCGAGATCACCTGGCAAACTTCATAACTTGAATGAGGACTTGTACTCAGCTCTCCTTTTCCAGCTTTTTTGTTATCAGCCAACTGTGATTGCCTTATTCTCTCTCTTCCATATTGTCTCTGTGCAATACAACCTCTGTAATGGAAATATTAGCTCTTCTGAAGTATCAGGATCCCCAAATGTACTTTCTCCAGGCCAATGTAATGGCAATAATAAGCCTAGATAAATTTGATTCCCTTTCCTTTGAACTGTTTTTAGATGCCCTCCAGATATTCAGATAAACGAGTAATGCACTTGAAAGCCTAACATCTGTCCCTTCCTTTCTAGGCTGCCCATCTCAGCCCTTAGATTTGGTGTTTGCTTTGGATTCCTCAGCTTCAGTTGGATGGAACAACTTTGTGCAGCTGAAAACCTTTGTCAGCAGGCTCTTGTTACAGTTTGACATCAGTCGGGATGTGACACAGATCGGACTTGTTGTGTTCGGCAAAAGGCCCCAAACTGTTTTTGGGCTGGACACACACGTTAACAGTTCCACTCTCCATGAAGCCATCAAGCAAGCCCCCATTGTGGGTGGTTCTGCTTCAGTTGGCAGCGCCTTGCTGCACATCTATGATGACATCATGACTGCCCATAAAGGAGCAAGGCCAGGTGTGAAGAAGATTGTGGTGGTGATCACGGGGGGTGTTGGAGTGGAGGATGCCGTCGTACCTGCTCAGCAGCTCCGTAATAACGACATATCACTGTTTGTCATTGGGATGGACCATGACCGGACTGGCTCATTACTGAGGACTGCGGGTTCTCACAATAGCCTGCTGAAGATAGCTTCTTATGAAGATCTGAAAAGTCATGAAGGCCTGATCATGGATTGGCTTTGTGATGGTAAGGTGGCTATTTGCTTCTCTGGTCATATCTTTACCCAGTGATTACAGTAAAATTTAAAATGTATATCTGAATAAGTGTGTATCCTGCCAATGGCAATTAAATTTAACAGGGTGGCTTACAAACTTCAAGTTAAAAATATAATGAAATACAAAATTGCCATGAGAAACTGTAAAAAGAGATCAGATTCAGATCAAAGCTAAAACTTGTTCGTAACACTTGAGAAAATAAGACAACTGCAACTCAGGCACCAGGTGAGCTTCTGTTGGTGACTAGCATGCAGCTGTACCTATTCCTGTGTCCTGCCTTAGCAGTGTGACTTAGTCTTAGCTTGTTAAGTGGCCAAACAAACTGGTTCTTTTAGTGGTCCACTGCAGTTTGTAAACCCATTTGTGTGATGTATCACTCTTTATGGCAGGCGGACAGCTTGTAGTCCTCCAGAAGTTTTGGCCTATAACTGCCATCATCCCTCCCCACTGGCTATACTGCCCAGAACTGATGTGAGCTGTGGCTGTTCAGATGCTTTGATCCACAAGTTGCCAAGCCCTGTTTTATTTCTCAGCTTTTTATATCTATAACCACGTACTCATAACTCCACTGGAGTCAATGAGGCTCCCTCCTTTTATACTCCCCGCTTCCCCTCATCTATACTCCCCACTCCTATGGGGGTGTTAAAAGTCAAGTGCCCCTTCCCAAGTGCCATGGTCCCACTCTGAATTAGGGCACTGTCTGCTTACTTGAGGGTAAGTAAAGCTACTCGGTTTAGATGCACCAGGCATGAGTAGGCAGATGGTTGTCAGGACCAGCTGCTAAGACCTACTCTGGACCTCATTAAAATCGTATCCACTTGGCACTGCAAGCCATGCTGGCCATTTGGGCCTAGCCACTTTTAATGCCTCCCACTGGCCCGTAGCACCACTATGGCAGAGTCACTGCCACTATGGCAGACTCACTCCGCATGGCTTGGAGCACCCACTAGGGCCTACCATTAAAGCAGGGGGAGCACCAAGAAGCACTTTCCCTGCCCACCCTCAAGCCCTGACTTCCATACTTCTGTAAATACATTGATGAATATTTATCTTTGGAGCGTTCCCATTAATTGGCACAGCCAACGCCTATGACTAAAATAAAAGCTTTCTTTTTTCTTCACCCAGGGTGAATGCACAGTTCGCTTAAAACAGAGCAGTATGTAGCTTCTTTTACTGAAGCTGAGAAGAGCCAAATTAAACGGTGGTCCCTCTCCCACTGCTCTCTGGTATTAATTGCTTTCAGATATTGACTCAGATCTTTTTAACGTGTCTGAGATCAAAGGCGCTGCACATGATCTGTACTTCATCATTTAATATCTTGTTCATCCAAGATTAGCAGCACATTCCTAATGCATCAAAGGAGGATTGTTTATGATATGAGGCAAGATGACGAGCTGCTCTTCCGAGGGTCGGCATGCTTTGTTTACAAAGCAGAACCCGTGATGGGAATTAGCCTGTGGCCTTTCTGTGGGTGTAGCATATCCATGTATGTTATGGTTGGGGAGGTAACATGTTGTTAAATCCTGTGTGGGAAGGAAGGAAATGTAACGATACAAGTGGCAAACTTTAAAATAGGAACAATAATGGTGAGCCGAGCAGTAGGTGATAAATAAAGGCTGGGGAAGCATGCAGCAGTCCTGCATTCAACCATGAGTAAGTTGCACTCAGGGGCAATTTGAGGCTATGCTAAATTAATAGGCTCAGTCTGTAGAATAAGATCTATGTGGACTGTAGTTCAGTGGGTGAGCACGGAAGATCTCGGGTTCAATCCCCAGGATTCCCCAGTAAGGCTGGAAGAATGCCTGCCTGAAAGCCTGGAGAGACCCTGCCATTCCTGCATGAGGTGGGCCTATGATTAAGCTCAGATCCCTGCATTCCAGAAGTTTCCATAGGAGCAATGCCTGCCTCATACAGGCGTTGTTGAACTGCTTGCTGACCAAGGCCAAATTCAGTTTTGGACCTGTCAGGGGGCTACATTCCAGTGGAAAGTGGGGCAAAGGGGCCAAAAATAAAAGTATTTTAGTTTGAGAGAGGCATTTCAGCCTCAGAATAGGAGAAAAGCTAGGCAAAGCGAAGAAACCACCAAGCCATCAGTGGTCGGGGAAAAGCATTTTGAACAGGCCGAGGGCTCTCTGTAGATCCATGAGACTGTGGTTCTGCACTCCTATATAAGGAGTTTTTGCCAGGGAGTTGTCTTCATTGATTTCCTCTTCTCCCCTTAAAACAAGCAGAGAAAAATGGCAGGGCCCGCAGCTTTAAAAAATGTGAGATGTCTCTCTTCCTGTGCCCTGCCTTCACACATCTGTCTATTCCAGAGGCTCGGAGGCCAGTGAACCTCTGCGTACCCAACCCCTGCATGAATGATGGAGTTTGTGTTCCTGAGAATGGCAGCTACTGGTGTCAATGCCAAGGCTGGGAGGGACCTCACTGCGAAAACAGTAAGGCTTTATTGTAGAATAACCATCAGGCATTTCTGGTAGACGTTCCAAGCTTTTCTAATTTAGATCACTTGTATCCCATCTCAGGCTAATGACCCAGAAATACTTTCTTTCTAACCTATGCAAAATAAAAAAGCCAATTGAATTCCATTTTGATCACATTCTTAAAAGTAAGGTAAGATGCTGGAAAGTAGTTATCAGCCTACATAATATAATATTTCATGGAAATATGTATTTTCTGTTTTCTCTCCTTAGAAATGTCAATCTAAATTGATTCATTGCACTCTTTTTAAAGCCAGTTGATGTGGCTGCTTTCATTTAGTTTGCTCTTGGATTATGTAGGATCTCATTCCAGAAGGGTAGGCAGGTGAGCTTCTTTCCCCCAAAAGATGAAACCTCCAAGTATATATTGGGCTGTACTGATGTTGCTGAACAAGGAGATCTCTGTTCGCACATCTGCCAGACAGATTAATCTGTCTGCACTGATAGCACTGACCATCTGTTTGGAAGGGCCAAGAAATATTGGAGGAGGCCTGTGTTTAGCCTTCTGGTGGTTGCTACTTTGAGACTAGATAACTCTGATAATGTGTTTGCAGGGCTGACCCCATAGATTCTGCTGCCAGAGTTGAAGATCAAGATGGTGCCTCATCCTGTTCTGTGTAAAAAAAAAAGCTGGCAGTTGAAGCATTCTTCAACACCCGAGGGCAGTGGGCTAGTTTATTAAGTTTCTCCCAGATCTCTGGGCACCTCTCACCTAAGGCAACTGCCTCACAGGCAGCACCAGCTTGCAAAAGGATCACGTGCACAACTCAAGGTGCTGCCAACGGCATCTTTCAGTACCTTTCTGACCTGATCTCAAAGAATGATACAGAAAGCATTGCTTGTATTCTCATAGATGCATTCACCTCTAAAACATTATTGCTTCCTGGGATCCTTCTTAGAGCTCATCATTTAACATTGCAATGCTTTTTCCTTTAAGCAATGTAACTGGAATTCAATTTTTGGGAGTATTTTAGTAAATACTTAGTAGTTCAAATGACACCATCTTCAGCAAAAGTAAGGTTGCGAAATAGTGGAGTATTAGACTAGCTGTATCATTAACATTCAAGGAGTTGTCTCATGTGCCTTCAATTTTCTTAATCAATCCTAACTGCCTGCCAATAGACTAAGAAATTAAAATGTAAGAAGTAATCATTGTTTATTGCTTTGATCCACTGTTGTTGATTTGCTGTTGTGGGGATAAGATTGAGAGCAGAGGAGGAGAATGATGTAAGCTGCTTGGAATTCTTACAGAGAAAAAGAAAGAAAAATTAAAAGGACAGGGTATCAATTAGTCAATCAAATAAATAGCTGTGATGATTAGCAAGTTTGAGAAGACCTTTCATCTTGAAGACCTCCATGAAATGTATTTATTCAACTTATAATCTAAAATAAAACTATGCCAATTCATTCTGGACCTGTGTGCCAAATAGTATGATGGTATCTTCTGTAAAAAGTTGGGGAAATGATCTTTCTTCTTGGTAAAACAACGCTCTTGTTCTTTTCTACATAAAGGATTAAACACATTGTTTCCTGGGGGCTTGGCCTTTTAATTACCTTGCGATGTTTTATTTTTAATGTAGGGATTCAGAAGGGTCATATTTCACAAACATGGATGTATCCAGCAATGGTCCATGCTCTGCCAAAGCAACGTGGTTGGTGGCAGCCGCACGGAAATCAGCAGCACTCCAGACGGCACGTGAGAGCGACTCAGTGAGGAGGCCAGAAGTACGCCTGCCTACAGCTACTGGAGACATTACCCTGAAAGAACTGAAACCCAGACTCTGCGTCTAGTTACAAGTAATCATGCTGTTTAAAAGCATGAGAATTTTGCACAGATTCAATTCCTGGTAAACCAGAGGAGCTTACCAATATCTAGCTTGTTTTTATATTGAGTATTTATTATTGATATCCTGAAACGTTCATTCTAAAATCAGTATCGCTTCTATACCAAGAATAAAACTACACTTTATGTTAACTACATAGAGCACAACTTGGATTCCAAATGGAGGTTTTAATTTTTTTTTCTTGCTTCCACATTGGGGGCAGGAAAGGTTTCTAGAAAACAAGAAGCCAGAGAAGGCGAGTTTTAAACCTCTAAAACTTGCACTAAGATCTGCATACCTAATCTGCATACTTGTGATTCAAAAGCACCAAGACAACCAACTGTGCTATTTAATGTAATGTGTAGTTTTGCCCTGGGTTTCATAGCTCTGAATAAGTTGTTTTTATATTAGATTGGGGAAAAGTAGTCTATTTTTGAACACATATCAAACTGTTATTTAGCTAAGGATGCTTTTATACAGTTAGGCTCACCCTACCTTCCCTGTGTGGTGAGATATTCCAGGCTGCCGTGCTTATCCAGTTTTGGCTGCTGAAGGTTTATTATTGCATTGCATCTGTCTTGATTTACAAATATGCAGGATGAGCATAGGCAGAGATGCAGCTTAATCGCTCCAGAAGACTTCCATGTCCACTGCCCCACATCAAATATCCAGAGAGAATTAGCTTCCCAAAAGGCACTTGTAGCCCTGTGCCTCTGTGTCTGTTGACTTCGGGACTCAAATTGCAGTTTCTGTTCTTCTGCAGTCACTGCTAGCTCACTTCCTCCATTTGGCTGGAAGAGGGATGGTCATAACATTGAACTGTTTTCTCTAGTCAGCGTTCAAAAAGATTTGTTTGGCAGTAGTAACAGCCCCTGGCAGTTAAGGTAGTCTTTCTTATGCCTGCACCATGATCCATCTCCAGTCCAAAGTTGCAATCCTGCACCCATTTGTTATAGTTTATTGATGTCAGTGCTGTGTCTACATACAGTTTAACCTCATCAACCTGACCAAGTGATCACTGATACTCTGTTACGCACAGCGTTGTATTATGCATGGAGATCCAGGCCAGTATAAGTGCTTCCCCTTAGATCACAAGGAAAGAGGCAGCTTTCTCTATGCTGAAACCAAGAAAATAAACCATGCCTATGTAACACCTCAGTGTACACCTTGAAGCTTGCCAAATGAGTGAACTTGCTTTCTTTTGAATGTGTTGGTCAAATAGGTGTGTGTCACCTTTCCCCAGTTTTTGTTTACTGAAACAGCAGGGCAGTTATGCTCTGTCTCAGCCTCATAAAATCCTAAGACCCAAGAAAGCGTTCCTAAGATTCCTTGTGCTTGTATTGGAATAGACTCTCCTTGTGTGATGTGGTTCAGATTTCCTTATGTGAGCCCAGGCAAACTGGCAGAGCTGTGAGCTGTGGGGGTGTTATTGATCTAGTTATTATCCTTCGTATATGCCATTTATCTAATGCAACACAAATAATATTACCTAAATAACCCAACAACTAGAATAATCAGAATGAAAGATACAAATATGAATGAACAAAAATTGGAAGAGGAAGGCTGATTCTTGTGAGTGATTTTTGACCAAAGGTGGATCTCCAGTACTTCTACGACAGTGATTTCTCCAAACATGGAAGAGAAATTTCCTATATTGTTATATGTAGAGATTAATATACTTTGCATTTTGTTAATCTGTCTTATAATCTATTTTAAAGCCACCTACGATTTTGGTGACTACAGAATCCTGTGACAACTGTCTTCTATAAGTTGCCTGGATGCAGTGTATGAAGGAGTAGAATGTAAACTTGTGCCAGGACTTCACTTGAGAAATTGCTGCCTTCCAGGATAAAAGCAGCCTGTCAGCTTGAAGTCTTCTGGATGAGCATCCTCATGGTATAAAATTTGACACAGTGCATGGTCAATTCTTTCTGTGTTGTCCTCTGCTCATTGTGTGATTCCACTCCCATCCCCTCAGCACACTTATTTACATCTTCTAGGTGGGGAGGAAAAGGGAGTTGCATTATCTAAAATTGCCAAGTCAAGGCTGGTAGACATTTTTGTAGTTCTAAAGCTCTGTGTCAGCAGCTTACGCAATGCAGTAGTTAGTAAATGCTTGACTTTATGTACCAGCAGCCCCATTTTGTAATGCTCCTCTGAGCAGCAAAGTAACATGAAAAAGATACAAAGAGGCTGGGACAAAGTTGTTTCAATCATTTGAGTTAAACAACTGACTTAATTAAATGCGTTTCCCACAACAGCACCAAGTTGCCATCAATTCTGCCCTGGTCTCATCGAACCAAAGCTCTCCACCAACCTTATGCCCTCCTCGATGGGTTGGACTATGGCTCCCATCATCACCAGTCAGCATGAGATGATGGGACCTGGAGTTTAGGTTGGAGAAAGCTGATCTACACTGTGACTGTGACCATGTAAAACTTGGATGCTAACTTGGAGAGGAAGATGGTGTCATTCAGTAGTGCATCCTGGGCTGTTCAGGATATTGGGTCAATAAAACTTGTGATGTTGCTTGCTTACAGGTTAGTGACTTGACTAAATGAAGCTGAAAGGGAGTGTTTGGTCTCAGCAAGCATTCACTTACAATATGTATGCTGTCAAAAAAATTGTACTCTCAGACTTCCCCAGTGAGATGCATTCCAGGCAGGTTGACGCCTCAAGTTATTCAGTTTTAAGAAAGAGAATCTTTCCCTTTTCCTCTATCCTGCTCCCTTACTACTGACAGAAGACTTCCACTTCTACTTCAGGATGAAAGTGCAGATCTTTTGCTAGACATTTCCTTTATGAGACCAGTTCAAGACATGGTGCTTTATTCCCTAGTTTTACTTCACAGAGTGCCCAACTTATTTTAGTGGACCAGAAAGACAAGTTGTTCTTACTGGATGGTTGAATGGTTAACAAAAATAGGTGAGCTGTTATAGTTAAATGAACAAATTATAGGCAGTGACCTGGTTTACATCACATGAAAACTCATGGTGGGTTGTCAGCCTTGTTTGTTTCAGGGTGGTTTGTCCTTAGTTCCAAACTAAGCATGATTACGCTAGTATAGTTTGTTACTCGTGTACAAGCCACTCTCAGGCTATCCTGAATTTGCTTAATAACAGGGAACTATAAGCCATGGTGGCTTATATTTGTGAGCTGCCTGATTAGCAGAAGCACCCAGCCAGGCATGGACTGTCCTGACATCCGGCTAGGGTGACTTGCAACCCATTCTGAAATTCATGGCTTGTTGTTTACAGACCACATTAGCCACCCATTCAGACCAGGTTTGGACATCCCGACAACCTGTGACTTTCTCCTGTGAAACTGGACATTTCATGTAACCCACAGGAGTGGTACCTTTCCATACACACAGCCAACTATTAAAGCTTGCTTTTTGTCTGCAGTTTTGTTGCCAGAAGGATTTCAGAGATTGTGTAGTTTTTCGCTTAGTGAAGTTCCAGAATGAGCTATGCAGTCTCTCAGTTGCTTAAACAAGCATTTAATGCAAGCTGTATATGTGTTTTATTGTCTGATGATTTCTGTAAAAGATAAGACTCATGTGGAAAGACTCATGGTGGCAGTTTCTATGTACTTTCCATAAATAATACAGAATGCCAACTCCTTTCCTTATCTAGGTCAAAGAAATGAGTACTTAGCAACAACAATTAGGCCTTTTCTGCAGAAAGCAAGTGCAAAAGTTCATGCAATGCAGTCTATTCAGAAATAAGTCCCAGTGAGTTAAATGGAACTTACTCCAGGTAAGTGTATACAGGATTGTAACCTTAATCATTTTAGCTATGACCATTTTGTAAGTCACTCCGAGGGTTTTTGCAAATGGTGCGGCATAGAAATGGTCTAAATAAATAAATAACTTTCCCTCTAATACTGTTTTTGTTATGCTTTTTTGTTGTTTTGTTTTTAAGACTGATAAGCAAATAGATTCCTATAAAAAATGTTTTCAAGCAGCGACTCTCTGTGCTGAGTGTTGGAATGACTCTTTTCCGTCTCGACACATAGCACAGAATGGCAGTAAACTGTAAATAGAGGGGGAGAATTGGCTTTTTGCCCTTTGGCAACTTGGCAAAGAACTCCTATGGCCACCAGCATCCTCCCTCAGCCCTTCCACATCCAGCATCTGATTCCAGCCAGGTACAGAGTGATCAAGAATCACCTATCTCTTGATCACCCCGTACCTCTCCTAGATCATGTTCTAGTCTAGCTGCTTCTGGGAAGCCCACAAGCAGTCATGGATGCATTAGCCATCTCCAAAAAGTGAAATGCTGCTGTATGAGAAATACTGGGCCTGTTCTAGGTCACACTCCATTCAGATCAGGCTCCATAGCTCTGGTAGCAGCCTCACATTAATCGCATTTGCTTACAACAACAAATGCCATCACTCCCAACCAGCAGGGCACTAAAGTAGGAAAGGCTGTCCCACACTCTAGTCCAGAGTCTGTCCAATATGCTTCAGGTTTGTAAAATGCCCCAGAGTTGTTGACTTTTAGTGCTGAGTCTGAATTAGCATTTTAGCTTTCTATATAATTGCATGAGGTCCACTGCTAGTAGGATTCATTCCTCATTTGAATCTTGCTCTGGTTGAAGATGCTGTGTATTGGTATCGTTATCTGTGGTAAAAAGGCTACTTTGAATGTTACTTATTAGTGCACAGGTATATGACAGCATAATGCTAATAAGCAGCTTTTATACAAATTTAATAATAAATAAATAAATGTGATCCATTGCAAGAACGCCCCCTAGTGGACAGAGAAGAATGATCCCTTACCTATCAATGCATAAGAAAATGTCATGTGAATAAGATTTCCTTGCAGTCTTTTGAACTGTGCTAATATTCTCTCGCTGTATGACTTGAAAAGTGTTTAATTATCTTTGGCCTGTGAAAGTTAGAATCACTGAATGGATGCTGTTTGTGTATCTTCTTGTTTTGGACCATATAATGATGAGAAAAACAGATTTAAAATAGAACCAACATTTTAATTTCATTTTGTCTTTAAAAAAAAAAAACTCTTCTAAAATAGCAACTGATTGCAGAGGCACATGTACAACAAAAGAAATTATTATTTTGCTACAAACACAATAATAACATAGTCCTATGATTGTTTAAATGAATACTCTGGATCTGATTGTGACTGTAGATTGAATTTCTGTGTCCTGGCTGACACCGGCAGCTCTAGTGCTTTGGTGGAGACACAGAATAGTATGGCTGGAGGAGACCTGGCTGCCCACACGTGGGGTAAAAGAGCCAGTGGCAGCACCTGTGGTACCTTTCCCCATTGACTCTGCCAGGGGACCGAAGTGCTATTGCCCTTTCTCCTGCCGCTCTGCCTGTTGCCCCCATCTTAGCATTGACTAGCCAATGATACAGTGGAAGACAGATGTCATGAAACTAGTGGCAACAAGACTGAAGACACACAAAAAAGTTTTATCAGTTGGAATTGCTACTTCCTGAACAAGGGTGGCTGCATCTTGTCAACCTTTTTGGATGAGTGTGGCTGCTTGCAACTCTTGAAATGGCAATATACACCATAACCTCTTTCAACTGGGCTGGTAACCTGTGGACTTTCCATGTGCACGTGTGTGAATAGTGTTTACCCTTGTATTGTATTTTAAAAGCCCGCTTAATGCACCAATACACAACGTATCTGGGGTCTAGCTTAGCTTTCTTAAGTTGGCGGATGCAAAAGGCTAGCTTTTCTTAATAAGAGCACACCTCAGGAATCCTATACCTCGCAGAATAGCCAGAAAGATTGTCTGGAAAGGTCCTTAGCTCAGGCTGCATCTGTGGTCTTTATAGCATACTATTACTTCATTGGCAATAACCATTTAATAAAAATTAGTCTGCTTTGAATCTAGCCTGCCTTGGAAAAAAGTTTCATACTTGGACTTTTAAGGGTAAAATGTGTGACTTTGACACTTTTAAGGCACAATCCTAAGCAAGTATAAACAAAAATAAGGCTTTTTTTTCATAGGCTGTTTTTTTCCATCTCAACTTACACAGGATTCTGTCCTAGTGTAGCAAAGCCTGAGACTTCGGCACGATCTCCTTGGTTTTTCTGACTGCAGCTCCATCAACTCCTGCCTTGTTCTAATCATATGTTTGCTTGAAGAATGAAATATGCTTTAACTTTAAAAAATTAACTTCAATCCTAATTTAAATGTCTCAGTCTTCCAAATAATGTTTGTGTGGTTACCTTCACAATACTTCAGTAAATGGTTCTTTTAAAAAATTCTGCACTTCGGTGTAACATGCAGCATAAACATTGGACTGTCCATTGTATAGAATACCAAGTGCAGTGGCATCTGCTCAAATGAGCTATTGTTATCTGTGTTAGATTGAGCCTTAGTCCTACTTTGGGCAGACCCACTCAATGGGACAGACGGTTTCGTGACTAATTTAAGTCTCATTGATTTCAGCAGGTCTATTCCTGAGCTCATTCCACAAAGTGAGCCCCATCACTGCATCAGTACATAAATCTTGTTATGGTTAGGATAGATGTTTGCACAGAGTGGAATGTCCACTGGAAAGTCCTCGTATATACAGGAGTATCCTGGTCTGTGAACCTCATTGACCAGGATGTCTTGCTGAGAGCCCTCGAGGCCACAACTATTATTTCTCATGCACAGACTATTCCTTGTACCAAGATAAGACTCTGAAACTTGAGTAGTTGGACCCTGTTCTTGTTTGGAATTCTTTATGGAAAGTCAGGTTGTCTTCTGCACACAGCTGGACAGAAGCTACTTTTTAGATAAGTTGCTTGGATCTTTTCTCAAGTTTTCTTATTTGGTTAGTATATCTTTTATCCAAAGGAAAAACCTAACATTGACCACCCTTCTCTCCAAAACACCTTGGTGTATCAGAGGAAGATTAAACAGATCTGGCTGATTCCATGTTCCATGGATGGTGGATCTGACAATGATAAAATATCAAAGTAGAAATACAAAAAGCATCCTTATGTACAGCAACACTTTCATGACATCAAGGGGGTTAGAAGCAACATTTCCACTTGTGTTAGCTCTCTTAGCTACACAGTACAACTCTGCTAAAAGGAGCAGTGTTCGTATTTGGATGAAGGCCATGTTGGAATCCAGGCAAGTTCCATCATTTCTTCTAGAGAAAATGGCATGGCATACTGCTTGTCATGCCTCACCTCACCACAGCTGGACCATTTTAGCTACTGGCATAGAATACTGTAGTCCGTGAAAGGCCAGCTCTAGTCTTAAGTCCACTCTTGATGCTGTGATATCCTAACTAGCACCTTTCTTCTCCCATTCCTGCAAAATAAAGAAGAAAAATTCATGTCAGAATGTTTTTTGGAGTTCTAAAAGGAACCAAAATTTATTTTAAAAAATCACATAGGTCACCTTTTTTACATAGTTGGATCCAGACTCAGTCCTACCCAGATCAGATCCATTCATATCAATGGAATTTAAATTAATCATAATTAAGTTTGGATCCAACCCCTTGGGTTCAAGATGGAATTGCTATCTGAATTCCATTTAGTGGTCTTCCTACATTGCTCACCTTAGTTTTCTGCAGAACCATTCCTTTCTTTGTGACCATGACAGATAAAGGTCGATTTTTTAGTGCCATTGCTGAATTGACTGGTGAAGTTTCAGTGTTGTTCATAGCACTGGCAGCTTTCATCTGTATCTGCAGGAAAAGGCAATGGTTGTGGTCAATCTATGCCAAAATAGCAACGTGATTCATGAATCGCACAGTGGAGATCAGAAAGCCCTCCTTGCAAGACCCCTTATTATTGATGCTTTATTGTGTTGAATACAAGTGCACCTTAGCTATATGTGGTCTTTTTGAGGTCTTCTATGACTTTGAGGTCTTCTATGACTGGAAACCACTAACAAAAGAAGTTGGAGGGTCATTATGCTATGGCTGACTCATTAGTGTTTATTAGACATACGCTGTATGAATTAGACAAGTCTTGGCCTAGAGCCATTCATGGAGGATAGCTCTGTCAAATTGCAATCAATAAAAGTAGCTAATTGGAGCCTCAATGTTCAGAGGCAGTATAACTCTGAGTACCTGGTACTAGAATAACCTCCACCCTACATAAGAGTTTTCCAGAAGAATCTGGCTGGCCACCACTGAAAACAAAACGCTTCCCAGGGTTTAGTTTTGAGCAAAAGCCAGAAAGAGGTGGGAAAGCAAATTTAATTAAGAACGAGGTCAAAAATGTTGGTTCAAACATAATTTTGATTAATATTGTGTTGTTGCAACTTGAAATTAGAAGCACTGGAAGCTAACTGGCAACATGTCCCTTGACTTCAGGCCCAAGGAGACATAACAGAGGAGAGCTGTAACTGGCTATCTCATAAAGCAGGTAGGGTAGGGCAGGAGTCTCAACCATCCTTCCCAAATGAAAGCCAAGCTGGTAGCCCAGCCAAGGAGAAAAAGCAAGCATCCATATTCCAGGACTTCAGGCCCAGGGACCAAATCCAGCCCTGCAGGGTTCCCCTCATGGTCAAGCCCCCTTTCCCTGGCCCAGCCCCTTTCCCACAAAAGCTCATTTTTGGGTGTGCCATTTTCTCCCTTCTTTCCTGGCAGAAAGAGCTTTAAGTTAAAATATGCTGGTATTTTTGGCACTGCCCTTTCGCCTTCAGCACCACAGAAGTCCAGCCTTCATGCTGAAAGAGGATCAACACCCTGCTGTGTTGCTATTAGCAGCGTTGTGTATGGCCATGCAGTGCTGTTGAGGGAATGGTGTGAGGGGAAGGGATTAAACACCCCCTTCCTCAGCCTCGACACAATTCTGTTCCCTTAAAGCTTTAAACATGTGCAATGAAGGCAAATTGAGTGTCAGTGACACATCTCTTGTGTCTGCGCAGTTTGAACAAAGTTTGAAAAGCCATACTCTTTCAGCTTCTTTGTTTTTAAATACATTACTGCTTTTTAACTTTTGTATTGCTAAGTCTGACTTTGGGTTTTACTTCTATTTCACACTGTAGCGTAAAACCTTTATATAGTTTTATGGTGTATTTTATGGTTTCAGTGGTAAACCACTTACAGAGTTTTGCTACTAGGAGGTAAAGAAATGAAATAAATCCTTTCCTTTCCTTTCCTTTCCTTTCCTTTCCTTTCCTTTCCTTTCCTTTCCATACCACCCAGTAGCCAAAAGGCTTTATACACACAGGGATGTTAGTAGTTACCCTTGCTAAAAAATAGTAGTTATCCTTACCACTATGCTGTCTTGAATGGCCCACTACTTACTTTGGGGCTTGCATTCTCCAGGTGTGTGGTATCCACAGCAGTGCCCAGTGTGACAGGCCCAGACTCTGCTTTCCTGAGGTTCTCCTTAACTTCCACAAGGCTCAGCTCCAAGTCCACACGGTGGTCTTCTTTCCTTTTGCATTCCTCTTCTACTTCCTTCAGTTTTTGCTTCAAGGAGGACAAAAGGCTCTTGTCTGCCAAGAGAAGCACATGCATATGGAAATCTAGTAAGCGATGGGTATTTTGCAAACCTGAGCCGTCATCTTGCTCCCCTTCTGCCTTTTCTTGTGATGGGGGCATGTGAGAGAAGGATGCACTCGCAGTGAAGACCTGGCAGGATCAGAATTCAGCTTCCTCTGAAATCTTCTGACTTGTCTTTCTAAGCATTGCAGAGCAGACTACACATACATTAAATGTATGAAACCCAAACAACATGGCCATAGTTTATATGGTACCTTTTCCAGCTTAAATGCCTACAGGAGTGGTCCTGTGCTAGATGTCTATGTACCTGCCTCAAAGATGGACAGCTGCCACCTTGATCTTCATCTAGCAAGCTCACAAAATATGCCAAAAGCACATAATGTTCAAACATGCTGGCACCATGACCTGTGGAGTGGAATTGAGGGGCGGGGAACGCATATTTACCTGTGCAGTTTATCAGCATCTCCTTCAGCTCCCTCTTCTCTTTCCGCAGCTGGGCCAGCTCAGAGCGGATTTCCTCTTTCTCCTTCTCTAGACGATCTTTCTCTTCAGAGTACCGTTTCACTTCTGCCTCCGTCCTGTTCTTGCCCAGTTTGGTTTCTACAGGGACTGCAGAGAGAGATGTAAAAACTAGACTCAGCAATAGCAGAAAATCTAGCTATGCAGCAGAGCAGTGTGGCAGCTAAATCCACCAGCACAATAGCTTTTAACATGGCTTTTAAAGTTACCAACAACTTAAAATGCTTCATCTTAAGACCCTTGGCTAAAGAGTCTTGACAACAGACACACCTGCATTCACCAGCTTGGGCTGCTCCACTTTCTCTTTGGGTGCTGTCACAACTGTAGAGATGTCCTTAATCTCAGGGCCACCCTGTGGAAAGGCAATTTGCTGTTGCTGGGTCTGGATTTTTACCATAGTTGCCCGTGGTGGTGGTGGTTGTAGATCATCTGCATCCAGAGACTTCTGCTGGGGAATTAAATGAAGAAGAATTGTTTGAAAGCAGCTTTCCTCAACCCACTGCCTTTCAGATATTTGTGACTTCAACTCCCATCGGCCCCAGCCACCGTAACTAGTGGTCAGGAATTCTGGGAATTATAGTCCATACTTTTGGGCACCAAGTTGGAGAAGGTTGTTCTAGAAATTCATTGACATAGGGAGTGGCTAGTTGAAGTCTGGATGTTTATTTGGGACAGGGGTGTGAAGCCTCTTTCAGCCCATGGACCAAATTTCACTTTGGAGAAGCTATCAGGGTCACATTCTGGGCCAAGAAAGGCCAAAACACCTGAAGACAACAGCATATTTTAATCAAAATTTCTTACTGCCAGTTTCTTTCTTGTTACTATTCTCAGAAGAGGCATCTTGACATTTCAGAGTGGGCAAGTAAAGCCAAAACACCACCAGTTGATTGGTGGCCTGGCCTAAGGGCATGGGGTCGGGGGATTGGACATGGCCAGGATTGGACCAGATTTGGCTGCCAGGAAGGCCACACTTGGACCCTGGGCCTGAGGTTCTGATTTAGGATCATGGCAAAGGGCTTCATACAGGACAGCCTCTTCATCCACCTAGCCCCATACTGTCTGCTGCTAGTGACAGTGGCTTTCTTGTATACCAAGCTGAGGTTTGTCCAGCCACTTGCTATTGACCTTTTTCATGGGATGTTACAGGCAAGAACACCAGGGGGAAATACCAGGAGAACAGCAATAGCAGGACACAGCCACTTGTAAAGACTGAGCACTGCTCCTCATGGTTACTTCCTACTTCTTCTAGGTTGCCTTCCTTCAGCTAGCTATATGCATTACTAATGAAGTCACCGTGTGAGGCAGAGCAGGGATTCAACCTGGGACTTTGTGCAGGCCAAGCCTGGGCTCTGCCACTGAGCTATGGACCTTCCCCAGGACCTCTCCATTGTTTCTGTGAAGTACCTGGTCTGGAGTCTCCATGGATCTTCTCCTAGAATCTGCTTCTTTAGGCAGCACTGACACTTCTTTCTCACAGTCTGCTGAGCTCTTTTGGGTGGCTCTTTGCAAAGATGGAGAAAGGGAAGGAGACAGCTGGCCAAGCTTCTTGCCACCACAGTGCATGAAGGATGAAATGGGAGTGAGGTCAAGATAGGTCCTGTCCTGCTCCCCCTCATGCTTACTTTCATTTGGGATCAGTTCCTCCTGAGAAAGGATAAAGGATGCTGCTTATAAATACATCTTCATCTAGAGCAAGATGTCAAGTGAGAACTTAACACCATCTATATTATTATCATTATCCAGAGCCAAACAAAACATTAGTTTAAATCCATTTCTACAGTTACAGCTTTTCCTGTTTTCACTCTAGAGTATATATAAGGCCTCTGATCTGAACTGACACCCTAGCGTGGAGGGTGGAAAGGCTGTTCATATGCCCCCCCATGCCTACTCTAGAGTAATTTTTTAAACAAAGTTATACTTGGTAAATACTGAATTCCAGCAATGTCTGTTTTGGCCCTTACTAATGCCAATCCAATTTAGTGCTGGATGTATAACTAGTGCTCCAGTTTCAATTATTGCTACTAGTTAAGGGCACACATGTGAAAGAAGGCAAATGCCTGCCTCCTTGAGCTTAGGATTACTTTTGCTTCCCAGTAATATCAGCACAGGCAAGAATCAGTAAAAAACACTGCAAAAACTTGCCACTGTCGCCTCTGGAACATCCACGTCGTCATAGAGCTCTTCTTCCTCCTGGCCCTTTGGCAAGTTGTCGATGTACATGTTGGGTTCTGAGAATTTCCTTTGCATTAACCTGGATCAGAGGAATGAAGGTGCACCATCAGAGGGTGTAGAAACCAGAGGGTAATCTTAGACAACATTCCTGTCCGATGTTCTGTTCCGTTTTTTACCATTGCTCCTGACTACTACATCTATACAACATGAATGGGTTCACAAGGTGCTGAAGCAGCTGCACTGTGCAGCCAGCTCCTTTTGTTTCAGGCCCTGTTGTATCCACCTTCTCCGGGGAAGAGCGAGGCTCTTCCAACAGTCTAGGTGGCCCATCTGCTGTCTATCTTTGTCTATACCAGGCTTTGCCAACCTGGTAGCTTTCAGAGGCATTTGGACCACAACTCCCAGAATTCCTATCGGGGAGGGCCTTTGACTGGGAAGTCTGGATGTTGCAGTCCTAATGTGTCTGGCAGGCACAAGGTTGGGGAAGGCTGGTCTATGCTACCCAACAAGAGCAGTGCTCTCTGGCAAAAAATGTCTCTTCCCAGGAATAGTGCGCTTTACTCTGAGAGAAAGGCAAAGTTGTAGCACTCCCGTCTCCCACTCCTGCCCAACACTTTTAATTATGCAAGAGTATTGTGTGTCCTTCCCATGTTAAAGGACATTGACCAAACTGAGCCCTGATTCCTGTTCTGCCAGCTCTGCTCTGGCTCCCTTACCAAAATTAAATTGTCAAAATATTGTCAAAAGCAGAGCACATTATAAGATGCTGGAATCAGTCATTTATCCATTCAGTTTGTGCACCTGATCTTTAAAACATGGTAAGAGAGAAAGGTGCCGACGAGGGCTGGCCCACAGGTACACCACAATCAAGACCCACTGATAAGCAGAGGCTGTGTGTGGTCTGAGGGCACATAATGCAGCTGCTTAGCCAAAACTGAACAGCAGCTCAATGGTACAGTGCATAAGGAGAGCCTGTTGAATCCGAGCAGGGCTCCAGCCAGTCGAACATTCTGTTCACACAGTGGCCAACTGGCTGCCCATGAGGAATCCAGAAGCAGGACATGATGATAAAATGTCAGGTGGTGTTGTACATTTGGTTTACTTAGGAGGATTCCTGGGCAGAGATGATGTTGTGTTTCAGTTTTAAAATTGTGACCCAGCTTAAGAAAAGGTGCTATGAAGTCACAATTCTACATTAAGGAAAAAAACCCCTCAGGGTGCAATCCTATGTGCATAGAAAAATTCAGAGTTCCAGCTTGGAAACATGCTCCAAGGAGCTGGACCTCCAAATCTGGAGAATCCTCCCCCGCCCTCGCAGCCATTAAGGTTCTTTCCACACTGGCTGTGCCTGTAAGGTTGCAAGACCGACCTTGGAGCTGGTGTGAGCGAGGGACATTCTGGGGCCTGGGAGGGAAGGCCCGGGACCCTGCCAGGATACCATACAGCCTGACAGCATCCCAGCTTGTCTCCCTTGTGAGCAGACACAAACAACTTAGGCACCCGAACTCAGCCATCCTTTTCAGGGTGGGAGAAGCATATTTCTTCCATACGCCCATACTCCTTTTGTCCTTTATAGGAGGCCTATAATCCTTTCAGTTTGGAGGGCTACAGGCCACCCTGTTGGACTGCACCCTTACACAATGCACGGTAACAGAAAATACATGTCAGGCAGGAACAGAAGCATGTGGGATTAATGCCCACACAGACTGTATGATATAGAACTGGTGAAGGGATATGGAAAACCAAGCAAGCCCCCTTGTTTCACATCACTCTTTGAAGGTCAAAGTGCTCCAAGAAAGATGTGTTATTTCTCCAGCTAATCTTAATGATCACATCAGAAAGTAATAGGCAATAGTAATTTTCAAGAGCTTGTTTTTGTCATGTTTTGTTTTACCATGTCATTCTCAAGCAATGGATATTTTAATTGATTGTACCTCATATGATGGTTATTTACATATCAGAGCCAACTCATTTGTTGCTGCTTCTTGCTAACAATCACATCCCTGCCAATTGTACATTTAACCACTTCCAGGCAAAGCCTCTCCTTTTGTAGGGGCCAGCAGCATTTGTAGAAATACACCACAAGAAAAGGGGTCTGACCATCAAACGCCCCCACAGTCACTTACAGAAATGAATTCTTTGCTGCACTGACAATGCAGGAAACCCTGTCAGCATCGACATAATCATAGGTAAGCTCCTCGGGGTCTGTTTTTGAGCCAGATTCTGATAAAAGGAGACCAAGCCAGTGGCCCATTTCTTCACAAGACTTGGCCTACAAAATAACCAAAGAAGAAATCCACCATTACGGCTTTAGGCCAAACTTACCATGAGATGCCCACCCTCAACCTTAGAAAGTCTTCTGGTGAGAAATGGGTTGGATTTAGTGGAAAGGGCTAGAGCCTGGAGGGAGGGTGTCTTTCCTTCCTCCCCGCAGTAGTCCTCTAAAAAGCCTCCTCCAGGGTCAATGGGCCGTGCTCAATCAATGGGCTGGTGTGCTGGGGCTGAGAGGGAAGACTGTCCCCTAAAACTGAGCAGAGGAACCTTTAGTTGAGAGGACTGCAGGGAGAAGGAGGAAGGGATGGGAAGCTTTCTACCTGCTCCTTTTCTCCATTTCTTTGGATCCAACCAGTAGTGTTGTGATAATTGTTGAAATGTAGGCACTTAGCATGATAGTCTTCATAGCAAAACTGCCAAGGACTGTCCAAATGAACAAGTAGCTGGGTTGATCCATATGAACAAACTAGTTCTAGCAGTTTTCATCTCCATCAGGAGCAGGTCTCTCAAAAAGCTAATGGGTCTTAATCGGACTTTCAAGAGCCAGCCACCCCACAGTACTTCTCTTTATAGCATGGATAGCTTACAGCAATGAACTGGTTCACAGCTAAGGACAGTCGATGGATTAACCCCTGAGCTGTTATGCACTAGTGGGAAAAAGTGGGTGTGCTGCCTGCCACTTCCGGTTTTATTCAGCAGCCCATGAAAAGTTACTTTGTAGGCTGCTGGTGACATGTGAACCCAAGTCAATGGGTATCTAAGGGATAAACAACTCAGCCCATGGGTGGTTGTCACACATCAACTGGCCCAGAATACTGTTGCTGGGAGAATCCATTTCCCACCTCCATCTGCTGTGAGGATTTTAGCTAAGCTCAGAGGGAACGGGGTTTCGAAGAGAGAGTAGTAACATGTAATGTCTGTCTCTGCTAATCAACAAGTGCCATTACTTCAATTCTAAGAACCCTGCCTTCACTTCCTCCAAGACAGTCTAAGAAGTGTTGGAGATGAAGGCACATTAAAAGATGCTCAAAATTAAATATGTCCAAACATGTAAACACATTTCAATTTTAATAGTCTTGCTTTTTTATTTTATGTTTTAAATCTCTCTCTCTCTTTCAAGGATTCTGCGTTCAAGGCTCAGTTTGTTCGGCTGTCATAGATAATAGCCTAGCTGTCTGAAAAAAATGCACAAATACATTTCACTGCACAAAGAGAGCAGTAGCATAATAGCCATGATCAGGCATGTCAAGTACTGTCATTTCATTTTCTTTAATTTTTGCCAGAAGAGGGCACCAGTTTGGTTTTCTTAATGTTATATGACTCAGTGGGCTCAAAAGTTATTTTGAATAAACCTTCAGTGGTTGAAGGAAAATACCCTGAAAGGCCCATGAGAAATGATTTTATAAATTCTAATTGGTATGAATGAAAATGCTGAGGCTACAGTCTGCCTTAGCTTCATGAATGAGGATAATTCGAAAACAAAAATGCTATGAAGTGGCCCTTTTTTAAGTTCCACCTGCCTCAGCAATCCATCTGTTAAACAGAAACAAAATCCAGACTCTCTAGCTATCACTGGCAGGCCTGTTGTTGGCTGCAAAGATTCCTCCCACTCCAAAATGCAGGAAATTTGTCATATTTTCCTCCTACTATAATGCTGCTGATGTCAAAGGATCTAAGATTAGAGGTAAACAGAGAAGAAAAACAACTCTGACCCAAGGCAAGTGAAAGTAACAGATGGGCGCACCTTGCCCCCCCCCCCCCCCCACCCCACGTCTTTTCCAAGTTGGCTTCACAGCTGGTGAAAACCAAAGGTCACTTCACTGAAGTGACACTGATACTTTCCAGGACCCTTACTTTTCTTCTTGAAGAAGAAGAAGCCCATGACTCAGAAACCGAATTGGTTAATCCAGCTGGCTGCTTATTTCAGAAAACAGGTCAGGTTGCTGCTGAATACTTGCCACCTGCCTGTCTTCTAAGTACTGTACATACACTGAAAAGCAAGACAATCCCAAGAGCCTAAGAAAAAGGAAGAGGTTGGTCTTCCCTTTGCCATGCTATCATTTCCTGGAAGGGAGGAAAGTGCTCTTTTAGTGGCCCCTTGGTCCTCTGGCTGACCCATGAGACTACAGTGTGCTGTTTCCAGCCCTGCAGCCCCAGGACAACAGTTCTCAAGATCCAAATCAGAGGTTTCGATTTGCATCTCCCTCCTTCAAATGCAACAGATAATTTCTGCCCACTGAATGCAGCATTTCTTTGGAGAAAAAGGCAGGATAGAAACACGACACACACATACTCGGCCAGGCTAGCTGCTTGTCATGTTCTTGCATGTCCTATATGCATGTGCTGTATGCATTCTATCTGTCCAGGGTTATGGGAAGCAAGCATGCTCCTCTTTCACACTTCCTCTGTGCACACACAAGAAAGTGAAATTTAGAGGTGGTTGTGCCAGCCAAAATAGCACCCCATCCCCAAGGGAAGTGGGACAATCAGCTGAGTTTTAAAAAAAAGAAGCGAGGTGGAGGGAAAAAGCCCTCTGCAGGGATCACCAGAAGCAGCTCCCAAGTGCAGGGGCTGAGCGCATGCTTTGCTTGCAGAAGGTCCCCACTTTGATGCTTGTTATCTTCACGCCAAGCTGCAAAACCTGCATGGGGCACCTGCAGCCAGTCAGTTGACAAGACAGCAGTTTTGTCCACTTTCTGCATTGGAGAAAAAAGGCTGAAAGTTCCTACTTAACCTCTGACTGAAGAGCAGGTACATCTGGGAGACAAATTCACCCAGACAGAGGGAGAGAGGGCTTGTTTGAAGAGGAGACCAAAGAGAGAATGTAGGAGAGAGAGAGAAAAGCCACCGCTGGAATACACCCTGAACAGACTACCTCTGTTGAAAAATCTTCCCACTGCGGCAATTTTGCCCCTTTTCCTTCCAGCTGCAGTGCTGATTATGGATTTCTTGTTAACCTGAAGTATTTTAAATGGTATTATATCTGTGGTTATATTTGCATTGTTTTTAAAAGTTATTGAGGTTATTTTGTTACTGCAAACACCCTTGAAGACTGTCTTGGTTGAACTTTAAGACGCAATAAATATTTTTTCTTTCTGCTGAAAATCTCTCTCCTAATTATGTATCCATGCAATTTAATCAAATCACCCGCAGGAATGTGGTAGACATTATTTCAAAATGGCTATGCGAACATGGGAAACTAATCTATACAAATGGTTCCCCAGGCAATGGTTTCTGCTATGCTCTTAACAGTGCCCCATTCAGTTCTTTGGCACAATGAGTAAGTGCATGACCTGTACCTCTAACATGGCCCGCTCATCCCCATTATGCAGGATACGGAATGAGTAGAGATGGTCAGGACTGGGGTCTGGAACAATTTCACAGCCTAGCAGGTTCAGAGGCTGCTGCGCCGTTTTGCTTCTGTTCTTGTCCTGGTAGAAATGGAGCTGCCCATCTTTCACATGGCACCACCGAGATCTCCACTGGCTGTTCACTAGTACATTCAGGTATGCTGCAAAGAATGACATGCTCCCTTAGTAGCAATTACTCCTGGAGTGACTGGGAATGTATATAACTGTGTCACCAGATCCTGACCATTTGTTGCCAATGGTAGGAAAGTTCTAGCATATGCAGCAGGCCGGGCTCCACAAGAAAACATGCAGATCAAGAACCAGATTCTGATAGGAAAAGGTATATTTAGAATACAGATTGAGATGTATAAATAAGATATGGACTCATGGTCAAAAATTCTGGGTAGTCAGATTTTGGACTGCTCAACACCCCCCTTTTTTAATTTTGATAATTAAAAGTTTAAAATTCCTCAAAACTCTTTTGATTGAAATACCTCACCAATGAGCTTTCTTTTCAGAAAGAAAAAAGAAAAGGAGTGCCAGAGTCTTCTTAACATCAGCTGCATTTGTGTGTCACCCTTAGATTGTGCTCTTTAATCTCCTGTTGGTGGTGGGGACTGAATAGATATAGCTATTTCATAAGGGTGTCTTTCAGATCACTTACTACAAGTATCCAAAGACTTCTCTGGACTGTCCAGTGAGGCAGATTTCTTTCTCCCAAGGTGCATCAAGTTGCTCAGTTTTAAACCAGATGTGCCTTTCTTCTTAGCTAATAATAATAATAGTTAGAAAATAAATCACATCAAAGCATGTATCAAATTGAATTTCTAAAATAACAGGCAGGAGAATCATTATATTCAATCTGTATTTTAACAGGTTAATCATACAAGCAATAGACTAATGCAAAGCCCTATTCCGATATGAGCCAGTATGATACTTTAGAAATAAACTGAAAGTGGAACAGGTTGTCTGTAGGTCCCACTCATGGAATTAGTCACCCAAGCTCCTGAGCAACAGAAATACCTTATTTCAGTGCCAACAGGTAACTGGCCATTTTATGATTGGAAGCATCACACAGAATACTCTTCAGCAGCAATCATACCGCCAGTGAGTTTGAGATGGGGGAAATATTCAGAAGTGCGGGACTTCAAAGTGATCTTCCCTTGCACGAGAAGTTGCACCCCACTGAAGTCAGCCCAGACCCTCCCATTCAGCCCCACCCATTTATGCATAGAAAACAAGATTTCTCTTTGCAAGGTGAGTGGGATTACGCAGCCTCATCCCTAGACAGACATGCAGACCTTTCAACCAACTTCAAAATCTATTGGACCGATGGCTTTGATCATGCACTGAATTCCCTGCTAGGCTGAGAGAATGACAAATATAAACCCATCAGGAAATGACGCTTTTGAGAACCATCAGAAGCATTATTTTCATGCTTGGTGCTGGTCAGACAAGCTCTGCCCTGCTGCTTCTTGTTAAGCCTCCCTCTTCACAAAGATGAGTGTTTTGTTTTGGTTGCAAAGAGAGATGGGGCTGTGCCACCTGGGTTTTGCAAACATCCCTTCTCCAGGTATTTGCAAAAACACTTGCAGATTTCCAAATATTTGTAAGGGATTCTCATAAAAGCCAGGTTGGATTTTTGCCAAGCAGATGTCATTTGTCTGCCTTTAATGTGACTGTTTTTCTCAGGTCTGCTCAGATAAAATGCTTGCCTATATTTTTCTGAATAAACATGACAATTTAACACAGCAAACTTTCTAGCGGAGGCTTTGTTGAGCACTTGCCATTCGTCACTCATAGTTGTCTATGGCTGTATTGAATCATGCCTCCACTTTCTAGTTTTGCTTGTTTCACAAAAATATTTGCATGGGGAGGGGTTTGGGGGGAGGGGGCAAGTAAAATCCAGTATTTTGGGCATTGCAAGACCAAGTGCAACTCTCCACCGGTGCAGCTGCATTATTTCTCATTGTTCCACTGTACCACATCACCATCTAGAGACTGTGTAACACAGCATACAAAAAGGAAAAAATATATATATATTTTTCAGCCAGTCCTAAAGAAGGCATCCCTGGATCCAGAGGTGGCCGCCAATTATAGACCGGTGGCCAACATCCCGTTCCTGGGCAAGGTGCTAGAGCGGGTGGTGGTGGGACAACTCCAAGCACTCTTGGATGAAACTGATTATCTGGACCCATTTCAGTCTGGCTTCAGACCCGGGTATGGCACTGAATCTGCCTTGCTCGCCCTGTACGATGACCTGTGCAGGGAGAGAGACGGGGGAGTGCATCCCTGTTGGTTCTCCTGGACCTCTCAGCGGCTTTCGATACCATCGACCATGGTATCCTTCTGAACAGGCTAGCGGGAGTGGGAGTAGGAGGCACCGCATGGTGGTGGTTCCGCTCCAATCTCAATGGCCAATTTCAGAAGGTGGTGCTGGGGGACTATGGCTCTGCGCCATGGCAGTTATGCCATGAAGTTCTGCAGGTGTCCATTTTGTCCCCCTTGCTATTCAACATCTACATGAAACTGCTGGGAGAGGTCATCAGGAGGTGTGGGCTGCGGAATCATCAGTATGCTGATGATATCCAGCTCTACCTCTCGTTTTCCACCAATCCAGGTGAGGCAGTGGCTGTGCTGAACCGGTGCCTGGCCGAGGTAATGGGCTGGATGAGGGCCAATAAACTGAAGCTCAATCCAGACAAGACGGAGGTCCTGTTGGTGGGTGGCTTGGGCCTCGGGATGGGGGACTTGGGCCTTGTCCTAAATGGGGTTGCACTCCCTCTGAGGGACAGGGTTCGCAGCTTAGGAGTGCTCCTCGACCCTGAGCTGTCTGTAGAAGCTCAGGTGACGGTGGTGGCGAGGAGCGCCTTCCTTCAGCTTCGGCTGATACATCAGCTGCGTCCCTTCCTGGAGAACAACTGCCTGGCGACAGTGACACATGCACTGGTAACTTCCTGATAAGATTTCTGTAACACGCTCTATGTGGGGCTACCCTTGAAGATGGTCCGGATACTTCAATTGGTGCAGAATAGAGCTGCCAGGTTGCTGACAGGGACTGGGCGTTATTCTCATATAACTCCACTGGCTTCCGATTGGCTTCCGATTGAAGTCCGGGCCCAATTCAAGGTGTTGGTTATGACCTATAAAGCCCTAAACGGCTTGGGACCTGGATATCTAAAGGGATGCTTGCGCCCATATATGCCGTCCCACCCCTTGAGATCAGCAATGGATGCCCTTCTCCGGGAACCCTCTGTGAATGATATTAGGAGGGTGAGCACCCAGAGGAGGGTTTTCTCTGCGGTGGCGCCCCATCTATGGAATGCACTCCCCAGAAAGGTCCGCCTGGCACCGTCGTTATTTGTTTTTTGGCGCCAGGCTAAGACCTTTTTATTTAAAACTTATTTTAATTGCTAAATTATTGAATTAATTAGGATTTTAAAATTAGCCGAGAATGCACCGGGGGTTTTTTAATATTTTTTCTTTTAAATTATTATATTTTTATTATTTATGTATGTTTTTATGTATTTTTTGTGAGCCGCCCTGAGGCTTTGTTGCGATGGGGTCGGCATAGAAATGTTTTAAATAAATAAATGAATGAATGAATGAATGAATGAATGAATGAATGTAGTGATCCCAACTTAATTCAACAATCTGGAAGTGAAGTAGCAGATTTAATGGCCTCATCTAGAAGAATTCAGAGTGGCCATCTAGCATTCTGCCACATGGTTAGGAGAACGTTACCATTTATCCACATTTCCTCAGAAATGTAGGACAGTAAGTATGGCTGGATGCAGTAAAGCAGTTAAGACTGCTGAGCCAGGGTTCTTGTCCACACTTGGCCATGAAATTCACAGGTCACTCACTTTAAGCCCAACCTACCTCATAGAGTTGCTGTTGTGAGATTGGCAGCAGAAGCCCTCCTCCGGGAACCCTCTGTGAAAAATATTAGGAGACAGAGTACCTGGAGGAGGGCCTTCTCTGCGGTGGCGCCCCGACTATGGAATGCGCTCCCCAGAGAGGTCCGCCTGGCGCTGTCTTTTATATGTTTTTTGGCACCAGGTTAAGACCTTTTTATTTAATCAATATTTTAATAAGTTTTAATATTGAATTTTATCATATTTTAATTGCAGCCAGAGTGGATCATTAATTAATTAATGTTATGTTAGATATTTGTATTTTATTTGTGTAAGCCATCCTGAGGTGCTTGCAAAGGACAGCATACAGATATCATAAATAAATAAATGGGAGCTATGTGAGCTACCTTGGATTTCTTACAAAAGGAAAAAGAAGGAGAAATATAAATGCAGTGTCATCATCTCTGCAGAAAATCACTGACTAACCAATGGATCCAAAATGTGCTTGCTTACTTTCACATCGCTCTGGATTCTAGTCCAAGAATGAATTCCTCTTGTGACTGATATGACTATAAGAACGGAGACATGTAGCTACTACTCCCTTCCTTTAAAAGGGCCAACAGGTGGTCTCTGGGGAGAGGTTGTAGTTCAGTGGTACAGCACATGCTGTGCAGGCAGGAAGTCCTCAACAGGATCTCTGGTATCTCTGGTTCTAAAGGATTGGGCAGCAGATTATGCAAATGGTCTCTTTTAGCCTGAGACCTTGGTCAGCCACCAGAAGGCGAAGGAAACAGCAGAGGTGTTGATCGGGTACCCGCTGGTTTGCTCTAGGGGTTGGGGTTCGGTCTTCAGAGCTTGCTCTGCACTAAACCTTTTTGCCTTTCCATGAGTAAGAGGGTACCCATGTTCCTCCAAGACAGCCAGGTCGCCCTGCTATGTCATATGATGTCACTATGTGGGTTCACCATCACCATTTCTCTTAGTTCAAAAAGAAAATGAACGCAGCAGACGAGCTCCAGGCAATTCAGTTCCAAGCAGACCACCTGCTCATGCAAAAGGCCTGACAGACACACACCTTCCAGTTCCTCTTCTCTCTGCTCCTAACTCCACAATGATAGTCACTTTTAAAACAATTACCATCTTTAGTTTCTGTCAGCTCTATGTGACCATCAGTGCTGCTTCCGCTTTCTGATGCCCCCGAATATCTCTCAGCTGGCTCCAGCTGTAAACAAGAAGCAGAAATGAAATGTATAGAACCAAGGACAGGGCAGCAGAAGAGCATTTGCTGAAATATTGGTTTCTCTTAGGAGAAACTACATTCAGCTTTTGCCAACATGGTCTCAGGATAGGAGACGGTGTCAAAACCGTGAACAGAAGTAAAGAAAACCTGCATGTGGACTTATATGGTGGTTGTGTTGCAGAGCAGGAAGGGTTGGGCACCAGCTGAAAACCCACACTGTCGCAGGGTCCCACTGGAAGGAGCTTCCCAGGGTTGCTCCATCTGCCCACCCCTGAAAACTGTGTCTTCCCCTGGCCCTTGCCCTGGCCCAGATGACGGCCATGGCGGTGTTGAGGAGGAACAGCAATGCCACCGCTTACTCGCTCCCTGGTTTCCTTCTCATTAAGCCAGCCAGCAAGCAGTCAAAGTGATAAAGAAGAGGGTAAGTAGCAATAGCAGCTGATGGCAATGGTGGGGAGAAGGTGGACTCTCTCAAGCGGTCTTGCTCAAGGGCCCTCAAGAACCTGGAACAAGCACTTGTGGGAATAAAGACCCATGCATAAGCCAAGATTTCCTGACAAAGAACTGTATTTTGCACTAGAACTGCATGTTTTCGAGGTGCCTGAAGGTCTAGTGAGTGGTCAATAAGCACCCCTCCCCTCTGTTATACACAGTTGCTCAAGGTGAAGGCAGTCACCTTTCCTTATACTTACTCCCAATATTTTTCAAAAGTTTTATGAGGCATGTTGATATTTGTGCCGCGCTCAAATTAATGACATGTTTTTGTGCTTTCCTCTTATGCCCTTATGACCATATACTTCATGACTTTCTAGTTGCAACTGTCTCTATGAAATTTATGTGTCATGTCAATAGCTCCCAACTTAGTTGAACCACCTCATGTAATGTTCTTTATATTGTGGCAAGTGCAATGAAATCCCTTTTTGGTGTCATTTTTTCCCCAGTGATACTTATTTCCTAATGCTGTCTTGAAAAATGTTCACCATACCCAGGAATCTTTAGTTTTTAATGAGTCCCCAGTTCATAGTAAGGTCTCGTTCTAGAAATGGGCTTATAACTCATGATATAATATTGGCATATGGGTGCTTACAAGAAGGGAAAAAAAGTCCTTCCTCAAATTGTCCTAGTTTTAGTCCAGTTTTTCTTTAATCCAAGATGTGTGTGTGTTTAAAACATTACAAAATATCCATATATTCCTTATTCATATTTCTCCTAGTTTCAGTTCTGCAGTAAGTTAAATTGACTACAGCTTACAACTCTGAAAGCATCCGTCTGTAAAATCATTTCCCTTTCACCTAGTATGTTTGTCTTTTTGCCTTTATAGCTAGAGGGATATCCAAAATCTTTCTGCTTCCAGATTGTTTGTTTATATAACTCTTGCCTTCGGGTTTGAACACAGCTAAATCTATCAGCTCTGTCTAAAACCAGATTTTAGCTTGAAATGAACTTATTGGAAAATTGAGTGCCTACAAAAGAAGTGTTGATGCTGAAGAAATGGAAAGGCAGCTTGATGCTGTTCCAACCATGCTTCTTTCAGCAAAAAGAAGCCTGTGTTCTCTTTATATGTAAAAGTTTCAACATTTTCCTGTTTTGACAATGGAAATTACTTCCAAAGGTGATCTTTTTTAAAAAAGAGAGAGAGAAAAGAACAGAAAAATATGTTTCAACAGAAGATTTTAAAAGCTACTCTTTAAATATCACCTCTCTTCAGAGGTAAGACATACTTTGGGATAACAGAACCGCTGGGAGTCTGGAACATATTGGTTCCCTTCACGCAGACCATCTGAATAGAGTCCACTTGTCTCCTGAATTACCTATGTGGAATGAAAGAGAGAAATAGCCATGAACAAGACCTTTCCCCATGGTCATTTAGGGAATTTATGTATTTGATTTATCCCTCTCCCCTCCCCCTTTCAACCAAAATAATGGCACTCAAGGCAGCTTACAAAAGCAATTCAAAACGGATCAAAATTATAACATTCCAGAAATACCCTTGCAAAAACAGAGCAAAACTTCACAACAATTGCAAAATAGTAAGAGGTCAGCACCCAACCTATTGAACCCACGTCTAGGCCAAAGATCCTCTTGAATAAAGCAATCTTCTCCTACCAGTGGAAGTATCACATGCTGGGGTTCCACAGCCTGGGAGCAACCCTTGAAAAGACTCTTTGTTGTTGTTGTTGTTCTGTGCTGTCAGTTGTTAACTGACACACTACTCAGTTCATACCAAGTTTCTCTTGAGCAGAGAATAAGCTCCTTCAAATAAGTGACTGTATGAACTATGAACAACATCAGAGGATGTGCACAGTCAGCTCCAACAGTGTTCCAAGTGGATTCGGGGTAGCTTCCTATGCAATCACCTGTACAAAGACTGGTGGAAATATCCAAATAACGATCACCACACATGTCAGATAGGGGTGCAAGTTTTTTTCTCGTGTCCTTTTAACCTACCATCAGATTATTCTATTCTATTCTATTCTATTCTATTCTATTCTATTTATTTATTAAAACATTTCTATGCCACCCCATTCGCCGAAGCCTCGGGGCGGCTCACAACATAAAATTAAAATACAAGAAATAACAATATAAAAGAAGTCGCCCTGGCCAGATAAAATAAGCAAATAATATTAACAATCAAAATGACGTTTACATAAAAAGGTCTTCGCCTGGCACCGAAAAGCAAATAACGACGGTGCCAGGCGGACCTCTCTGGGGAGCGCATTCCATAGATTGGGTGCCACCGCAGAGAAAGCCCTCCTCCGAGTACATACCCTCCTAATTTCTTTCACGGAGGGTTCCCGGAGAAGGGCCTCTCCCGCAGATCTCAAGGGGCGGTCGGGCATATATGGATGTAAGCGCTCCTTCAGGTAACCAGGTCCCAAGCCGTTCAGGGCTTTATAGGTCATCACCTATACCTTGAATTGGGCCCAGACTTCAATGGGAAGCCAGTGAAGCTGACGGAGGACTGGAGTCATGTGAACATAACGCCCAGTCCCCATCAGCAGCCTGGCAGCTCTATTTTCAACTGTCTTACTATAAAAGTCTCATGGACACTTGCTGAATTCTGCAGATTAAAAGAATATGACTGGGCTGCTTGCCCCTAAATTAAATGCAGGGTCCTAAGGTGTTTCCCACCAGTGCTCCCATACATTTTAAGGGAAAAGCAGCAATTAACATGGCCAAGCATCTTTGCTTTCTATTTGGGCATCTCTGTCTGAGAACAAATCTGAGTGGGATAGTGTAACTTGATGTCCTGCAACAGCAGGGGGTTGGACCCAATGGCTTTCATGGCCCCTTCCAACTCTACTATTCTATGATTCTAAATTATTGCATGAGAAGGTACCTGAATCTTCACAGCAAAACTCTGTTGTTTCTTGGACTTTGGGCCAGAGGACCAAGGCAAAACCCAAAAGCTGTAAAACCTGGATTTTGTTTTTAAAAGCTTATTATATACACCAATCAACCATTTTGAAATACCACCAGAGTCCCACTCATGCATTGCTCACATGTAGAGTCTTTCTGATACAAACAGGACGCCCTGCTTTGTGCCCCACACCAAATGCCACAAGAGCCTCTAGCACAGAGACAGGGAATCCGAAACCTTACTGGGACTGCAATTTCCACATCCCTGGCCATTGGCTGCGGTAGACAGGCTCATAGGAGATGGAATCCAACAATAACGGGAAGGCCACTGGCTACCCACCTCTGTTCTAGCAACATCTGCATGTTGAAGACAGTTGTCTGCCAAGGAGCCTCAGTGCACTAGTGACGGCTTGTGCATGGGCTTCCACAGGACCAGGGCACCTGTTTGCACAGCCGTGTGTGCACTGAGACTCCTCTGCAAAGTGCTGCACTTGACAGAGGACAGTTCATAGGCAGGGCTAAAAGCACACCCCTGATGCTTACCTGGTGTGGAAGGCTTGATTAGGGCTTTGGCTGTCAGGTGTGTGGTGTGTAGAAGTGTAAGCTGTATTTCGGTGATGTGTGCTTAATGCTGCTCAGCCAACTTTCATCCTATGGCTTCCCTAAAGCCTTCAGATAGTTTTTATGTGGTTTGATTAAGTATAAAAAACAAATTTTGCCCACAATGGATAGAACTAAAAACTGTCAGATGATGAAGGCGCACACACACAACACTAATGGAAGATTAATTTCCAACCACATGATTGTACCATGCATGGTTTATGGTGACTGAATTGAAAATCAGAGGGATCCGGCTTAATTTCTTAGTGGGTTGTCTTGATCTCTCTCCGGTATTGGATTGACAGGAAGATTCGACCAGCATTCCACATAAGAAGTAACCGTTTCAAAGAGACGTATTCTCATGGCTGATCCCCACACTGCATTTTCAAATGAGGCAGTTTGCTCACATGAGAAATCTACAGACCTCTTTTCATGTGCAAAGGATGTGGGTACATAAGATTTACACCTGTCCCTTTAAAATAGTCAGAAGCAAGTTCCCATTTATTCTATCCTCTAAGCCTATCAGATATTGCTTGGCAGTCCAAAGTCCCCATCAAAATATTTGCTAAACAGTTAATGTCCATGGCATCCTCACTTTCCTCTTTGGCCAATCATGGGAAAGAAAGTTTACGCTGTACCTGCCCTTCTCAAAGAAGAGCTACGGAGGACGTAGATTTTGCAGGTCTCTTTGGAATTCCCTCAAACCCCTGAGTTGCTGGATCTAGTAGATTTGCCCATTCCACCCCAGTTTCCATACACAGATCTCTGCTTGGTATAGATAATTAAAACTTAAATCACAATTAATTTTATATTAAAATATTTTACAATTAATATTAATCGTCGGCTAAGATTATGGGACTATATTATGTAGACAAGGTAGCATTACAATCTAGTAATAACAGGGGATCTATATTACTACTGTATTAAAAGTTAAATACCCTTCCTGTATATACCAGATTCAGAGATCAGCCAAATAAGAGTGCAAATGCCCACAAATGAACGAAACGCCTATGTCTTGAGGAACAGCACAGTGTATAAAACAGGACTACATTTTCATTTCTATAGTCCTTGACTATTCTGTGTTTCTCTTCCCTGAGAAACACACACACACATTGTTACAAAAAGTACACTTGATAGGAGTAAACACACACCCAGAGAAGTGGGATAGAATGTTCCTGGGTAGATTTTCCTTTCAAAGCCAGAAAGACAAGGCTGGTGTTTGCTAAGCACTTGCCAAAGAAAGACTCCCTTCATTGTTGCCTAAAAAGTTGGGTGGTGACATTCCCTTTCATCCTCCCACAAACCAAGAGTAAAAGGGATGTGCGTGGATGAACTCTTGCATTAATCACAGGAGTCAAGCAGAGACAAAGCCCGGCAAAGAAGGGTTAAGGATGGAAGGATAAATGGGGAAGCAGACAGGGCTCCATCTAAGGAAGGAACTCTAAATTTAAGTGTAGGCCCATTTTATATTTTGAATTAAGATTTTCATGATGCTGTTCCTATCATATAAGCCCAAAGGGTTGCATCCATGAGTTGGAGGAGGAGAGACAACTTTCTGTATTTCTTCCTTTCACCTGAAAATCTGGTGGAGGTGGTACCGGAGGCTGCAGGGGAAGGGGGAATTCAGGACAAATTGAATTCCTCTCCTATCCCCCAAGAATGGGAAATTGTACTGCATAGCAGCTTCTTTTGTGAACAGAATGCCTTCTGCTTACAAGGGCTACAGTGATGACAACATCATGGCTGAGAAATATTCTGTAGCTCAGAGATGGACAATTTGCCACTCTTGGTAAATGATGCATGTCCTGCAGCAACCTGCCACCCGGGTTCTCTCCTACCTTCCCATACCAGATAAAGATGGATGGGAGGAAAGGTGTGAGAGTTATATGGGTGGTGATCTTCTTCATCTTTCTCTCTTTAGATCATCACCTCACAGTTTGACTCTTGAGATACTTAATGGTGGTTATGATCTTAAGTGAGACAGAGAAGACCGTGAAGTGACTCTGGTCCCACACACCAGCATCATATGATCCCGCTTATGAAGGGACAAGCCTTCAGTGGGAAAGGGTTATCAACATTTGCCACCACTGGAAAGGAGCATAGGAAGCACCTTCAGACTCGGTCAGACTATTTGTTCCTTTAGCTCAATACTACGTGCTCTGGGCAGCAGCTCTCCACAGTCTTGGACCTTTCCTATCACCTGCTAGGCAATTCTTTGAACTAGAGGGACTGAACATGTGATCCTCTATACATAAAGCATGTGCTATACCATTGAACAGTGGTCTTGTCCCAGGCTGGGCTGGTAAGGAACCCATCATGGAGGAAAATTGGGTTCCAAATGTAAATTCCCTGTGTTGCTTTCCATGGGAGAAAGGATTCAGGAACTAAACAGAGTATTAATGCTCCACTCTCCTATAAATATAGTTTTCCTTGTGGTTCTGAGATCTCACCAGGCATAGCCTGCACATGTTCACATCCCTTTCTGTAATTGTATGTGTATCCTAACTGAGATATTCTCAGAATTCAGAATTTTGTGCTAGCATGGTTTAATTGCGGACACATTAAATCCATATCGGCTGAAGGCAGCCGTCTAAGTGGGTCAAACGGGATGAGTCCACTCACTCTGAGCCACTGTTCAGCCTGGTCCTTACTCTGCAAGCCCAGCACAATCACATCGGCATTCATGGGGATGATCTTCAGCTTATGCTCCTTCTTCTTCACATTCTTCTCCTTGTGAATGACACTGCAACCCAGCAAATTAACATCCAACTGGGGATTGTGGTCCTTGGAAGTCTTGTAGCACTGCAAACAGAAGCAGTAAAATAGCTTAACAGAGATTAAAGATAGGTTGCTGCCTAATATCAAAATACTTAAGGGCATAGGGTTGGTATTTGAAGAAGTAAACATGAAGCCTAGAATTATGAGTTTTCGAGTATGCAGATAATACAGTGGTACCTTGGCTCACGAAGTTAATCCACTCCAGGACTCTGGTTGTGACCCAAATTGGTCGTGAGCCAAGTCAAATTTCCCCATGAGGGTCAATGTAAAATAAGGTTAATCTGTTCTGCAACTATTTTTTTTTTACTCACAAAAATGTGAAGCAAAGTGACAAAGAACAACAAAGATCGTGGCCATCCCCCCCCCCCACAATTGTGCAGGGAGGGTGGGGGCATGCGCGGGGGAGACAGGCGCGGGCGCACTCGGGCAGGGAACATGGGTGCAATCACAGCCATCTCACCCCCCCCCCACACGACCACGATCATGCCCGTGCAGGGAAGGCGGGCGCGCTTGAGATCGTCACCCAATGCAGAGCTTGCAACCTGCAGCAAAATTGTTATGAAATTTCTGTTTGCTGATTTGGTCGTGAACTGAAGCGTTTGTGAGCCGAAGTACCACTGTATGTATAATAGTTATATAATCTAATGAATCCAGAACAGCTGTGGACTACCAAAAGGAAATTAAAGCTAACCACCTGATACAAAGGAGGAGACATCAATTTGGTTTTATATTTAATGTCCAAATGTTTTATGTGCATGAACAAAATGTGATTACCAGCAGTAAGCCACAGAAAATCCAAGACAGACAGCTTGGAGAAAGAATTTTGGGTAAAATTCTCTCAGCCCTTCAAAATGGTCACAACTGGAATCATGGCAGTATTAGTCAAATTTGAAGAGTGGTACTAGTCCTGATGGTTATATGCTACCTCCAACATCATAGACAGTATAAGAAAACAGAAGAAGAGCCCCGCTGGATCAGAGCAAGGGTCCATCTAGTCCAGCTCTGTTCACACAGAAGCCAATCCATTGTCCACGGGACACCCACAAACAAGACCTGAGTGCAACAGCTTTTCCCATCCCTTTTCCCAGCCACTGGAAAAGGAACATTGGCATTTGGCCTCTGATCATGGCAGCAGCAACAATTTTGAGGGCTAGTGGTCATTGACAGCAGTGTCTTCCATGATTTTGTTCAATCCCTTTTGAAAGCCATCCAATATGGTGGCCATTACTGCATCTTCTCCAACTGAATTCTACATTCTATGTAAGGAATGGATACCAGTTCTTGGGCAGAAGGGGGGTTGTGGCACTCCTGTCTTTTATGTTGCTTTCCCACAGGCAGCTGTTTATCCACAGTGGGATTAGATGAACCTCTGGTTGAATCCAGCATGAATTTCTTTATGTTCTTATGGGGTAGGACCAAAACATTTTTTTAAAAACTACCACTATGTTTTAGCTTAACATTCTTTACTGCCAGTAACTAACATTTCTCCATTTAAAATGAGGGAGGAAATGACAAAATCTGGGAAACTACAGCATAGGGGAAAGGGGAAGAGGCAAAGCCATCTGCGGAATGTTGGAGGACCACATGGGGAATCCCAGGTGGGCCATATTGAGAATAGGCATGGTTTTAAATACCATGCACATACTTACCAACAGTCTGTTGTCCTTAATCACACAAAGCTGCTTGGCCCACTGGCCCAGCCATTTCTTCCTCCAGAGGAAAGCGCAGATCCGGGCGTCTTTCATGAGTTCAATGGAAGCTTCAGGGGAAGGCCACTGATGCGGAGCTGACTTGCCTTTGCTGCTCTCTTCCTCATCGTAGGATTCATAGGAGCTGCTAACTGCTTCTCCATCATCTGCATTCAAGTGGGGCAGGAAAAGACCATTATAGACACTTCTGGATGACATAGTGATGTGCTGCTTCATGCTCCATTCAGCAAACTGGAAAGAGTACAGCATGCATGACAGCAGGGACACCAAAGGAAAGGTAAGGATAGCTTGAAAGCTTGCAAAGCTCCAGCTCCAATAAAATATTCCTTTACTTCTCCTCCGTGTCCCACACAATGTGGATCAGCATGCACAAGACAGATACAGATCACAAACCAAAGCCTTAATTGTACATTCTATCTTTATGCAATAATTATAACCATCCTCGAATAGGTGATCGATATGCCTGATCATGGGACAAATTCTTATTTTATTTGAACAGTAAATGGCTGGAATGGTGCTCACAGGAAAAGGTTAAATGCTCTCAGTACATCTTACTTCTGCTCATTTTTGCATTTGATTAATGCATTGGATAGAAATAATAAAATGTAAACATAAGCATTTGTATATTCTATGCATCTTGCTTACATTTTGCATAGCTAATTTATACAAGTAATGCTAATATCACAATTATACAGACACATATGGTCTTTTGCATTCCATGTAGGAATTTTAGTTATTTTGGAGTTTCAAAGAACATCACTTGTCTGGAGGAGAAATGTATTTTATAAATTCTAGATTGTACTAAAACATTTCATTTTTATATGTTAGTGGAGCTGTTTAAAAAATGGCAAGCAAACGAAAGAAACAAAAACAAACAAAATAATAAAACTTCCTTCCCCTTATAGTTTGCATAAAACGATTGGCCTGTGGCAGTCCAGAGTTACAATTGCACATATTCAGTGTCATTGTTACTTTATACTTGCAATTAACACACACAAAATGAACCCACAATCTCAGAAGAAGGAAGTCCGTATCAGCAGGAATCGTGAAAATTAACACCAGGAAAGAGTAAAATTAAAAAGGGATTTATACATAGTGCTGGCATAGACCTACTCTAGTGATAACAGGACTCATTCATGCTGCATCCTCTTCTCATGCTTGCAAGTTGTCCAAGGAATCCAAGGAATCTGGTCCTGTTCATCAGGTTCAGTTGTTATAGCACCAATAGTGTCCTTGGGACATCACGTTAAACTCTAATTTAGTGTGCTATCAATGGGTCCCTACAAATTTGGATGGCCCACTTCTCTCTCCTTCTCTTCCGATGTGCCCATAAGGAGCACTCTACTTGAAAAATGCTTCAGTTTTTGCTTAACCATGTTTATGTCTTCCAAGCTGACAAACTATTGCTTGTTCAAAACAAACTAACCCAAAATGGTGTGTTGCAAAGCTAGCTTGTTTCAACACAACTTTAGAGGGCATAGCAAGCTATAGTTAAGTAAAAATAGAAGTGAGTGCTTCCAGATTTCTCCTTGCAGCCACGGCAAAGGGGAGGCATGAAGAGAGAAAGTGCTCTGTGACCTGATTCCATGGTGGGTTGTGTCACATGATTCCAGTACAGTGTCTGCAGAGTAGATTACTTTTCACAAGCTACAATCCATGGCTTGTTTTAGAGTTTGCGCATACCCTTGGTGGCTTATTGTCTTGTTTGAACCCAGCAGGGCAATTTTATTATGGATTGCCAAGAATGGCTGTCCGGCCAGAGGGAAAAAACTTCCTGCTACTCTTCAAGATGTTTCCATCTTCTTTCATTCCTTCTCTGCACCCACTACTCTGCGTCCCTTAAAATTGTTAAGAAACGGCACCAGGGAGCACCCTGAACATACTTACAACCTTGAGGGTTTAAAAAAAAAATCACATAAGCATGCAGGAGCAAGCAGCTGTCTTGGCATTTTCACAACCTTCTCATGCATGTTACTGCTTAGCCATGATAATTTTGCATAGATTTCTTGATTGTACTCACTGCTTGGTACCAAGATGCACCAGCTGGCAATGGAGGGAAGAGATGAGCGGGAAGTGTGTGCACTTGTGTGAGTGGGGAATGAAAGAAACTGGAAAGAAGGCGCTTTGCCAGGGGGTGTTCTTTCCTTGGTAGAAGGTGGGTTTCCTTTAGAATATGGATGTGTGATGAATCTGTTTTGGAGATTGGAATCCACTGGATTCCTTGGGTACAGTCTACTTTGTCACTGCCATGAATTCATCTCCCTGGTGAGCATGCCAAGCATTCATGGGGTTCTCACGAGGACTTTAGCTCCATGTGCTGTGCAAGCAGTGCCCTCTTCCACGCCACATACAGCAGCCTTTCTCTGCTGTTGCACCACATGGGGAAGGAGATCGCTGGTCAGGCAACCTTCATTCCGTGAGCATTTGTGGACCTGCTCTGGGCTCAGTTCACTTAGCAGGACTGGGCTGAGCACGGGAAGAGGTCTGTGAATGCTGGAGGGATGGATTCTGGCGAGTTGCATCCCAACCTTATTTTAGAGTAACATGAAGCAGATGCTTTTTTAAAAAAAAAGAAGTGCTTGCTAGCTAACAACAAAGGATACAGGGATGCTTGGCTAAATGTCAGACCAGTGGACTTTGGCAACTGTGGAAAAATTCTGGGTGGAAAAATTGCTGCTGAGCTTGCTATTGTGTTCAGAATGCTTTGGAAAATTAAATTCATTTGCCCAGCTGATGCTGGAAGCAGGGTATATTTCCCTCAATAGCCTGCAACCTCGGCAGCTGAGGTTGCCTGTTTCTCCAGTGCTGACTAGGTCCTGTACCCTTTATGTTACAAGCCACTACTGTTCAGGACACATTCCAAGCCAACATTAAGGAAACAATTGTGCAAAAATGATGGCTTAATAGGAAGAAGCCCACATCCAAATTCGGAGCACGAACATTCAAGCAAGTAGAGGATGAGTGCTTGTTTTCTCTTCCCAGAAATCTGGTATGGACTTATTTATTCCCCTTCTAAACTCCTGTGCACATGTGACACCAATCAATATCCTTGTTTGGCCATTCCTCTTTCTGATATGTGAATGTCTATTGTTTGTGCTTGACAGGTGAAAATACTGAGCTCCATGACACATCAGTCACCCTGCTTGTGTTTGTTAGTTTCACGAGTCAAAGGCATTCTGGTCTGCTTTATTCCTAATAATTGGTCCAAACCCATTAAGTTCTGATCCAAGCTGTGAGTTTAAATGTGACCACCAAAGACTTTTATTTGACAAAATTCTCCAGCCACACCTATCTCAGACTCCTTCTTTCAACACATTCCTCAGATGCTATCAAATGTTTTCTACAAGGCTGGAAAAGCAAAATCCTGCAGAGGGTGTGCAAGCCTTTTGCTGCCAAGAGCCACTCATGAGTCAGTTACTGCTTCTAGAATATCAAATGAAAAGATAATAGCCGCTAAACTGTGCTCCACTTGGGGAAATGTAGGATTTCAGCAGTAGCTCTACTTCCTGTCTCCCAGTAGATAAATTGCTGGATTATCTTCAGAGTGAAATAATGCAGTGTATGTTGGGGGCAGGGGGATACTGCACAATCCTATGCGAATTTACCTGGAAGTAAGTCCCATTGAATTCAGTGGGACTTACTTTTAAGTAGGCATGTACAGGAATGTGATTCTAATATAGATTAGGGAGTTGATATCAGGTCACACAGTAGTTGCAAGACCCAGAAAAAAATAAATGGAGGTTCTTCCACATCCAATCACAGCAGCAAGGACTGGTCTACTGCATTCATCAACAAGGTTTTTCCCACTTTCCCCATTTACAAAGGAGTAAATTCTTATTCTAGTCTGTTCACAGAATAAGTGAACAGACATTTGCAGTATGCAAATATCATCTTATACAATATTATAGTTGACAAAAATTGTGAAGAATATCCAATGCTGTCACTCCACATACAGCACTGATGTTGCACTAACATGGGTGTACAGAACCTCCAGTCCGTGGGTTTCACTTGGCCTACAAGGACAGCATGGCCTCTTGGGGTTCCTCCAGCGGGTGCAATTCATCTCTAAGCCCCACTCCCAGGAGGAATTCCCTGCTGCTATCTGTGGCGAGTGAATGAGACTGCTAGACTGCCCAAAGTCCTCATGACTCAGAATCTGATGATGAGGCTCTACAATGGGAGTTTTAGAGACAAAGGTCACTAAAGCACCCTCAGCATTGATGCCCACAGGTTCCCAGGCCAACCAAGAATGCAGAGATGTTTTGGAAGATATGGAAGTTTCCAAGTAAGGGAGGAGGGAGAACTGTTGCCTTGCCTGTTGCATATTTAATCCAAGTATATCCTGCTGTGTTGGAGCTCTCAGTCATAGGAACATAGAGAGCTGCCTTTATTAGATTTAATTATTTATTTGCTAAATTTATGTCCCACCTTTCTTCCATCATGGAAACAAGGTGGTTACATGTGGATCCAGATGGTTCCCCTCCAAGCACTGACCAGAGCCAGACCTGCTTAGCTTCAGCAAGATGGCTGCCTCATATGCCTTCAGACCATGCCCTGGAATCATTTTCCTGGCTCATATTGCCATCCATATGGCTGAGTACTGTCCACACTGACCAACAGTGAGTCCTCAGGGTTCCAGCTGTGGTCTTTCCTGGAAGTGAACCTAGAGACTGAACCTTCAGCATGCAAACCATTTAGTTCACCACAGAGTTCTCTCACGTAGATTGCTGACCATCCACACTTACTCATCCAGAGCATCTGGGTGTGTGTGTATTCCCAGGCCACTGTAGTTATGAGAAACTATGCTGTCAGTAGTGACACGTTTTCTCTTGATTGTCCTCCAAAGAAAACTTATTTCTAATATAATGGAGTCCAGAAAGGCCTGTAGGACTCTGCCTGGGTATCATTTTGTCAACAAATTGAAGAATTTAATTAGATAAATTTTCTAAGCCCTTTCCATGCAAGCTGTCACCTGCATAAACAACAGCTAAAAGGTACAGGTTTACTGTTTATATAAGTGTAAACCGCTACCTAGAAATGTGAATGTTTTCTATAATTTCTCCAGAATACCCATTTTAGAGGTATCTACTCATTCTCTTGACTCTGAGATTTGCAAATGCAAAACAAACATTCCTTAAGTGTTCATGAAGAACCAAGAGTTTAACACTCCTTTTGTTTTCCTTTGGGCAGGTTTTGCTGACAGAGCACAAAAGCATCTTATGGACCCACAGATGAAACTAACAAATTAAGATCCAAATAAACATTTATAAGGTACTACATTCTGGATTTCTTATTCCATCAAAAGGCATGCAGAGCTTAGAGGCAGATAATGGCAGAGTCATTTATATTTATTTTCTTAGTGCAGTTTTACACAATAAACCTACAAAAGCTCCAATGCAACTAAGTTAATGATAATTTGTTTCACTGGTGTCAGACATAATCACAACTTTAGTGGGACAGAGACTGTTTTGTCTTCCTTTTTTAGAAGCCGATAAAGATTTACTGCCTTGAATTGTCTAACAGTTACATAATTCTAACTGCTCTGACAACATACTACCCTGAGGGTACCATAATACTATGCAGGAGTCCCTGCTTTTGTTTTTGTTTTAAGCTAATACCTAGGTCTTTAAGAAGCTAATAAATCACTATAGGTCTAAGCACCTGGTGATACCTAATGGAGGCATCAGCATAGCATGATGTGTGGACCGGGAATATCTGCACCACACACGAAACACAACACATTGCAATGTCCTGTGAAAATTATAGTGCCACAACACCAGTATCTCTCCCTCACACACGCTATGAACATCCCACCGCGTCTATCCAATCGCCTGTTTGCAACTCAGTAGAGTTCTTTAGGGTAGACTGGGCTTATTACACACTGGCCCCAAGGACATCTTGGACCCATCTAAGCTGCACTGTAATATATTTGCTAGATAATTCCATGATAAAATCTCTTGCATCTGCCAGAGCTTAAACTCCAACATTATAGCAATTAAATCAAATGAGGAACTGAGAGCACAGCTTGCTCCAGTTTTATTAGATACATTTCTGTTGGTTCAGCTTGAAGATGCTAACAAGGTACTTGGACGGGTTCGTGTAAACATGTCCAGACTGAATTCTTGCCCCCTTGGCTGGCAGGGAGGGAAGAATGCCAGGGCCAGGGAAGAGATCAATGCCTGTCTGTGAGAGGCGGTAGTCCCACAATGCCTTTAAGAGGCCATTCTTACAAAAACCAACAGAGATAGCCTGGCTTTAGTAGTCTAAATTCTGGTGACCTCTAAAGTAGATTACTACAAAGAGTTCTACCTGCAGTTGCCCTTCTGAAGATAGTTCAGAAGCTGCAGCCTGTGCTAACTGTGGTGGCCAAACTAAGAACCAGGATCAGACTGTCCAAACATACAGGCCCTGTTCTGGCCTATTTTCATTGACTACCTATATGCTTCTGAGCCCAATACTGATCTGAAACTGAAACTATAAAGCCGTACATACATATAGCTTTAGACCACAATACCTGATGGAATGCCTCTTTCAGCTACAGTATATCCAGACATTTTGTTCCATATCTATGGCTTTCCCCAGAAGGCTGCCTTCAAGGGAAGCTTGGCTGGTGGCAAGAAGGAGGAGGGCTTTCTTTGCAGTAGCCCCTAAATTATGGAAAGTTCTCCCCACTGACATCTGTGTGGCACTGACTTTGCCATCTGTTCCACCCCAGGTTTAAGACCAGCCTCTTTGCTGAGGTTTTTACCAACTCCAAATAGCACATGAGAGTGGTTCTATTTTTCTGCAGATCTAGCAGTATGGACAGTTTAGTTGCAAACTCATAAAGTTGTAAAGACTGTTTAGGGGTGAAAATGTGTTTTTAAGTGTATTTTAAATTTATGTTATGATGTTCTATTCTTGTTTATTCTATACTGTATTTTATTGTGTTTCAACGGCTGTTCACCACCCAGAGATCTGAAGCTCTCTTAGGTGGCACAGAAAGTAATGAATGAATGAATGAAATACTGTTCTTTTTGCCTAATTAGACTTGCACCTACTATGTGGCTTTTTAACAAACAAGAACTTTTATCCACTGTTGTCTTCCTCTAGAATTCAGCTAAGGTTGATTAGTGACACCTAGACCTTTGTTCATGCTTGGCTAAGAGGCTGAAGAATGCAGAATGTTATAAGAATATATAACAACTTGTCTATCACCTCTCATCACGTATTGCTGGAAGGAACTGTTACATGAATATGATTATGTATATGTGGTGAAATACCATCTATGTTCATATGACAAAATACCAAAGGCAATGCATGAGTGATAAAGTTTGAAAACATGCCATACCCATAGTGATTGTGGCATATATTACTCCCTCGGTAACCTGCAACCCTGGTCTGGATCCAGTAGCTGCAAGTCTACCATAAAGACCTGCATAATCACACATGAAGAAGAAAGAAAAAGAAAGAAAGAGACCTACAAATGAACTGCACTGTTCATCAAAACATGAATTGAACTCTTTTAGCAGATGGAAGCACAATTTATGACAAAATAACTCACCATCTTTAATAAGAAACAGTCTGCAAAAACCATTTGTCTTTTTTACCTTGTTATGGTGAAGATCATTGCCATGCTCATAAATAAAAGCAGATGGTACCAACTTAGTCTGAATGATTATTATTCAGTCTCCAGTCTTCATGATACCACGAGTTCTATATATGCATATGTTTGTGCATGTGTCCATATGCATTTCCAGAGCAAGAAGTAAAGGAGGAAACTTTTACACTTCATGAAAATGTAACAAAGGGACATTTCGGGAACACCACTTGGTGGCTGGATGGAAAGTAAAAACAAAAAAAAGGCCCAGACTTGCTTGCTTTGTATTCACACCAGTTAGGGGTGTCATAAATCCCCCTGTGTTCTATCACATGCCGTAATGGAAATTGACCATTATTCTGTATTCTTTGTGCTATAAGGGGTGATGTGCAGATAACCTCTCTGGGACTGAACTGAGCAAAGACAGAAGCTGGTGCCAGTTTTGTCCTCACTATTCATGAAGCTTGATCATAGCCAGCTTCACTTGAAAGTACACGTGCCCATTTCAGCGGGACTTCATCCAACTAAATATGCCTAGGACTGCAGCCCGAGAACCTCCATCTCATCCTGCTTTTCAGTGTATGGCATTTCCATCAGCATTAGATAATCCTGCACAGGGAGCTGTCCATCACAGGTGCTGGGCAGTTGGACATCCAACTACTTCTTAAGGCAGTTAGCAAATGGAAGGTTGGTCCTAGGACATGCTTGTTGGACATTTTCAAGAATGCCAAGAGACACAAATTGCTTCTCATCATAATTGTCATCTAGGGAAACCAGGCAAATGGGTTAGGATATTAGCCTGCAACCTGGTAACTTATCTATTGATGTCCATGATGTTTGGTTAAATAAGAATCCCAAATGAGCTTTCCACACCTCCACCCTTCTCTACCTGCCTTCTCTCTTAATAGGGCACTTACACAGTCTTCCATGTGTGAGGCAAAACTAAAAATAATGGAACATCAGCTCACTGGCAGATGCCCAGGTATCGAAGAATGCCTTCTGGCATGTTTCAAAGAATGCCATAGAATGCTTTGTTTTTGCAGGTAAAAACATGTTAGAAAGCAATTTCAAAATCTACTAGTAGATGTAGCAGAAGAACTCTTCTGCTTTGTAGCTAACCCCCCCCCCACCCCCCGCACTTCTGAATGAGGGACAGTGGACTGGTGGGCATGCAGGTTTTTCAGATGACAGGTGACTTTTCCATTTTGTCTTCAATGTAAAGACACATGTATAAGAAACAGCATCTTAACCAGATATGCATTAAAGAACATACAGCTTTTCATACATTCTCCTGGATCTCAAAAACAAGTCAGGCCATGGTACCACCGGTACCCTGGAGATGCTTTGGACCTTGAACTCCCATCAGTCCCAGCTAGTATGGCCAGTGATTGGGAGTGCTAAGAATTCTATGCAGTATGATAATGATATGTTAATAATATAGTGATAATGATACATCTGGAGAACACAAGGTTGGGGAAGTGTACTCTTCCAAATATGTACTCCATGAGTAGCACTTTCTTTCCAGCAGAGAAAGACTCAATAAGGGATATAAAAGCAACCTGTGAAACAGGAGAAAAAGGGGAAAGCAGGAAAGCTATAATGAGCCTAGCAACAAAATCTGCAGGATAAGACAGCTCTCCCTTCTGTAGGTAAACATTCCTGAATTACCTCCATGAGTGATGCTAGCCAAGGCGATCTACCATTTCTATTCAGGTGGAGATCTCCCTTTTGGAGGAGGCTGAAACCCAGTACAGTCTCTAGAACCATCTCCTCCAACCTCATGCCCTCCAAATAATTTGTACTTCAGCTTCCAGCATTCTTAAACATTGGTGATGCTGACTGGGGTTGATGGCAACTGAAATCCAGAACTTCCAGAGGCACTATATTGGGTAAGGCTCTTCTAGAATATACTCATTTATATCAGCAACCAAAAACAAGGCATGTATAAAGATATTATGACACGATACCCTTACTCAGGCAGTAAACCTTATTCAGTTGGAGCACTGGTGCTAGAATTGGACTGAAAAATGCAGCATGCCCATTTTTCATTAACAGATTCACTTGCCAACTATCTTGTAAACACTCCATTATACTGAATTCGTAGCATGACCCCCCCACCCCCCAAAAAAATCTGCGTCTAATTTTTGTGTGGTCTTACTTTGAAGTGTTCTGCTCCTCCCTACCCAATTGAGTTGGCTGCTTCTAGAAATAACAAGATTCTCTGTCATGTCAAGGATAATGAAAAGCAATGAAACACTGGGAAAACTTCCTTACATACCATTCACAGAGACACCGTAGGGCTCTGCTTCTTCGTAGTACCCTTCTGGAGAGTCTGTTTTGGGACCTGAATGTGGTTTTGTTTCTGGAATCTGCAGAATATAAACAAAAATTTGGAAATGTGTAGATAAAAAGCCAAAGGAGTTTTGAAATAAACTCCCAAGATAGTACCTAGAGCTTGAATCAAAAGAATATTCATTTGTGAAGGCAAGATGGATGTTACGGATAAAACACCTGACACACACAAAGACACAACAGTATACAGAGCAGAACTGTACTGGTGATGAAACGCAAAGCTAGTGACTATCACATGATATTTTGTATTTCTGAATACAAATCAAGAAGAGTTTTCAATTTGGGTCTCCAGATTGCCCTTTTACAGTGCATAGTTGTTGGAACAGTCCAGCCGAATATGACAGAAGGTGGTAGCACAAGAGCTACTGGCTTCTCGCCTTCCCCTGCCCCCAACATTAAGGCTTCGCCTCATACCCAATTAGCCTGTGTTATGATCCACTGAACTCTTTGAGATTGTGTGCAGACAAATGCGTATACAGGACTGAACTGCCATTTACTTGACAAGCAGCAGTTAGACAGGGTTGGTTTTTTTCTGAAATGCAGTGAAAATTAGTGTTGAATTTCTGTGTATTAAAGACTGAGGAGCCATACTGGAAAAAAATAGCAACATTAGATGACAGGAATTCTACCTACCACTTTTCACTGGTTAAACCATAGCATTTCTATATTACAAGAAGTATAACAGCATACAGAGTTGTGGTGCAAACTACAAATAAACAAATTATTATAGTATTCTTAGTTTTCCTGAAAACTCATGCTTTAGGACACAGGACAAGCCTGACCTAAGAAAATTGGAACACCCAAGTCAGATCTCTTTAAAAAGAGATTGGATTAAGAAACTAAAGTTAAAAGGAAAGGGGGAGGGTCTTTGGCATTTATTGGATTACAATCAGATTTGGATCCTGCAACAAGGTTCTTGCTTATTACCCACCACTTAATTAGAAAGATTGTTAATGAAAATGAACTTTATACTCTGCCAGAATATGAGTTGAGCCAGCCTTATTTCTTATTTTAAAGTTCATCTTCTGGCTGTACAATTGTATTTGAGTTTCCTCATTTAAACGAGCAAAGGGGTAAGAGGAGAAGACCAAGCTGGAAATACACCAGACATCTTCAAAGTCAATATAAGCAAAAAAGGAAGCAGATAAATAGAACTAATGTAAATTAATACTTTCAAAAGATTCAAAGGACTGGAAAATCCCTGGACTGCGGCCAAATCCACAGGCTGGGGTTTAGGGAGAAAACAAGATAACTAAGATTCATTGGAAATATTCACATGCAAGTGGCAAGGAGAAGCTACAATTGATATTTTCAGGATAAACTGCCTAGAGAGAAGAATTGCCAGGACCTTGTCCAAGCTCCAGTTTAAAATCTCTGAATGTATCTGCTTTCTGCTCTTCTACAGAAAGATTTATGGGTGTGCTCTTATACGGTGTGTACCAGGATCTCATCCTAGCAAGCCTTTGCTGACTTGACTGCCTTAAGATATGTTTGTTTACAAGCTCCCATTCTCCCTGGCCATCATGGCCATGATAGCTAGGCTTGATGGGATCTTGTAGTCCAACATACCTGGAGGGCATTAGGGTGGGGAAGACTTCCTTTTAGGCAGCAGGGCCAATCCATCTGGACCATAGGTGAACAACATCCTGACAGAGGCCAAATCTGGCCTTCCTAGAGTTCCTAAGAAGCCTTCTGGGTTTGCTCGGAATGCTGTACTTCCTTCTCCTGAAGTGCCCCCTTTCCCCCAGACACCAATCAGCAGTCCCAGAGTTTCTGCAGAATTTTCCTCATTCTAAAAGGCTGAGATGCCTCCTTTGCTCCTAGTTACTGACAATAAGACCTTAAAGCTCAGATGTTCATCCCCACCCAAGACTCGGATGTGACCCCTAAGAGCTTCTCTGAAATGAAATCCAGCCTTTGGGCTGAAAGAGGTCAATGCTCAGATCTCTAGGACCCTGCATGGGCTTTGGGTGTGTTTTTTTCTGGCCTGCAAGCATGATTTCAGTCACTGACTGGCAGCTCTTCTTTCATGTTTCTGTGTATGCTGCTGTATGTGCTACAGACAAAATTCACACTCGCCTTGACGGAGAAAACTCTACGGCTGGAGATGTGATAATCACACATTTGGCTCTTTCCTTATGTTTACTTCTCAATGATCTCAAGCCAACCATCCTTATTTCATTCCACATTGACACCATAGCTTTTTTACCAGAGGAGACCTAGCATAGGTATATCAGTGGCCCAACTTCAAGAACATCTGATGCTTTTGAAATCAAATTGGTTCTACTCATGTTGATATAGCTTTAAAGAAGCTAAATTTAAAATGTTTCAAGCCATTTAAAACAAATATCAGCCTATGGATGTTATTTATTGCTGATGTTTCATCTTACACAACCATTTCAAAGTTCAGCCAGCTCACTATTATCTTTGCAAGATCATCCAGGCTATCCTCACTGGAATTCTCAAAAGTCAGGGCATCTATATTGATGTGCTCTAATCTGAGTGTAGAGTGGAAGACATTCGATTTGATAGAGCCACAATTATCTCAAGAAGGTGCTCCCAATTGGTCCCCTGGCAAAATATTTATTCACCTTTGCAAAATGGTTCAGTGGAAAGAAATACGCAACTTGAAAGGACTGATGCCAGCTCCTATGGCAGTTATGGAGAGCCTATAAGAACCTGGTTAAATATTTATGTGCTTAAAAACCAAACTGAGGCATTAAACTAGCCTTTCAGCCATGGCCAGGTGGGAACATGTCTTCGATTTACTTTTCCTGCTATTGTGCACTGGAGCCAGTAGCTATAATACTTCGGAGAAAGATTAAAGCAATAAATACATTTGGCAACTATTTCTCTCTATGGTCATGAAATGGATACCTGCATCTTTCTATAAGGTAAAACAAGTTTTAGACTGGAGAAGGAGGGGGCAGAAGGTAGCTACTCTTCGTAGTTTTCCACAGACAATGGAAATTCATTGATTCATCCTTTAATGAATCCAAAGCTCCAATTGTTGTTTTCCTTCAGAAACACAGAACGCATTTCCTACTACTGTGGGGAATTAAATTTTTCTGAGAGTTATGAACTGAAATTCTTTCTTAACTATCTGGCATGGGGCACTTTATCCATTGCAGCTTTTTATTCTGAACTTCATAGAAGCTATCCATGGTCCTGAATTCCACCTGCAGTACTATCTGTGAACACCATAGACAACATTTGCAAAGCTCAGAAAGCTACAATAGATAAGGAGTCTCAGTATGATGGTATACACACACCCGATGTGTCATTTTGTCCTCTCAAAAAGTCAAAATCTGTGATTTACTATCAAAGCTGTTGCCTTGCACACCATTCTTTCACTCTCAGAAATGGCCTGTGATGCTGTCACTTGTTTACAACATGAAGCAAATGAGTTAAAGGGAAAATAGGAACATTTTGGATTGTTTCAAGTGGTCAATCTGTCTGTCTGTCTGTCTGTCTGTCTGTCTGTCTGTCTCTCTCTCTCTCTCTCTCTCTCTCTCACACACACACACACACACACACCCCTTCCCACCATGTATGCACAGACATGTTTTCTGAAGGAAGCCTGAATAAAATGGGTGCCTTTTTAACAGTCCTGTTTTGGACAGGTCTCACTTTGCTGCTAATCCAATGTCTGCCTTAGGAAATTCTGCCCACACATGCAGCAACTAGAGCCAAATCTTATCCCCTCCTACACATACCAAAAAAGCCAGATTGTTTTTATGACCAGTGAACTGTAATATGCACAGACCCAAGCAAAGATTAGTGGCTGCAATTTCAGACCTTTTAACTCACCTTGAGATGCTGAACCTGCCTGCCCTACATGAAAAAGGAAATTTGTAGATTTGCCCCCCTCCCCCCAGTTCTCTTCCTGTGATCATTCACGGGTCACTGAAGTCAGGTTCTGACAACCAGCAGCTGAGGCAATAAATTCTATTCCAATGGTGCCATTTCAGGTCACAGGGCAGGGTGCTCATAGATCAGGGTGTTCTCCACACCGAGTTCTGGCCCCATAGAAAACTAAATGCCGGGGCAAATGGCACCAGACGTCTAGCCTTTTGCTTCCTAGGCCTGAGAGAATCCTAGGCATGGATTCTTTTGTTGTGAATAAGAACTAGCAGTTAACTTGTACATGATTTTACAGATGAGGGCAAGAAGGATGATTCAGAGACTGGAAACAAAGCCCTATGGGGAGAGTTTGAAAGAACTGGACATGTTGAACCTTGAGAAGAGAAGACTGAGTGGAGATTTGATAGCACTCTTCAAGTACTTGAAAGGTTGCCAGAAAGAGGAAGGGCAAGATCTCTTCTCAATTATCCCAGAGTGCAAGACATGGAATAATGGGCTCAAGTGACAAGAAGCCAGATTCTGGCTAGATATCAGGAAAAATGTCTGGACCATTAGAGCAGTAGAACAATGGGTCCAGTGCCTTAGGGAGGTTCTGGGCTCTCCCACACTAGGGGCATTCAAGAGGCAGCTGAACGGCCATCTGAATGGGCCGGTTTAACAGGCAGTCCTGCACTGAGCAGGGGGTTGGACCCAATGTCCTTCTGGCCCCTTCCAACTCTACCTTTCTATGAATCTAGGATTGCAAATTACTTGGCACCTCATTACTCAGTGACATGGGAACCAATAAGTGCCTTAGGAAGCAATTAAGTCACTGAGGTCAAATGAGATGGCAAATGTTCTGCCTATGGCATTTAGTCTACAAAGGCTGTTTTGTGCACACACGTCACCTTTGAATGCTGTAGTCATCACATTCATAAGTGAATGTACAGGTAGCTATATTGCTATCTTGCTGTCCTGGAAAAGCATGAGTGGGAAGCCTGAGACTCTCAGCCCAGTTTCCTATGGCACTCAACCTAATTTCAAAAGCCTCATGCAGGTGATTGTTTCACATTTCTGGCACAGTGATCTGGCCACACCTTGGCAGCCCACTGGGCAGGAAGGAAAACGAAATGGATGGCAGAAAGACAGAAAAAAAGTAGAAAAAGAAACAGAAAAAGGCCAAGTCACACAATTATGGCTCTGGTCCTTTTTAGTGGTGGGCTACCCACTGTTAGTATCAGCTTCTGATGGGTTAACTGTGGGGGAATGTGGCCCTCAACAGAAAAGAAAGGAGAGTCCACCGCAGGCTGAAAGACCCTTGAAGCTTACGTAGATAGACAGAGATGTTAAGCCTTCCACGGGGATACTGACAAGAATGGGAGTCTTGGGATGCCTTCTCCCACCATCCCTGGTAATAGGAAAAATATGCTATTGTTTTCCTACCCCTGCTTTCTGTATTTCTGGGTGACAGTGCAGAGGACGGGTAAGTCACAACACAACATCGTGTCACATGGTGAAACGTCATGGTGCGGGTGCAGATTTCCCCAACACGTGGGCCTAATCCAGCCCACAGAGCCCGGTGGAGGATTCTCTGAAGTGGGCAGTGGGGTTGGGAAACTTGGCCCCTGGTGGAAAGAGACGCTGCTTGTCACACCGCTGGCCAAATCGGAGATGCCAGGCACCATGCAAAGCCAGAGACTTGGCTGCCTGGAACAAGAGCCGCTTGAAGAATTTGCTCTGCTGATTCTAGTCCCAAATTTATAGACTAATGTGCAGATCGGAACTTTGTTATCCACCAGATTTCACATATCCTGGACATCCAAATCCAAGCATAGTTCTTAGTTTATCAAAATACATTTCAGAAGACATTGTGCCTTTTAGACAAAATATATTTTAACAGGTATATAGAAAATGCTTTATATTTTCATGCAATTTTTCATGTGGAATCTAAAAATTGGAGATCACACAGAACCAGAATAAAATGGACTTGTGAGAGGACACCTCTGCCTGCCTGCCTGCCTGCCTGCCTGCCTGCCTCTCTCTCTCCCCACCCACTCCCCTCTCTCTCAGAAAAAGGCTTCCATAAAAGTACAGTCAGCTATAACCAGCCAGATACATTAGCCAGAAAACCTCCTTGGGCAATAGAATGTATTCATTAGAACTCAAGCAGTGCAAAGCTTAAAGACTCCATTCTTTGCAGACTTCCTTTTCTCAGAAGCCTTGGAGGGACACCAACCCATTAATATCCTTGGATATTTCCCTGCAATAATCCATCCAGTCTCCCTCTGCCTGTAGTTCACACAGCCATTTCCTCAACGGACCACCCAGAGGCCTTTACCTTCTCCTGTACTATGCACACAAACACACACACACACACACACTTCCTTTCAAGTTTTCTGCTTTTTTCAAGTACGAAGTTCCTCACTGGTGTGGTCCCCAAAGTCTACATCCAACATGTAAAACCTCTTCTCAACGAGCTCAATAGGAGAAGCGAGTTGATGGGGTGGAGTGGAGTGGGAGGCAGGTTCAGAAAGGTGGCCATATAAAATGGAAGTCGAGTATAAATGGACAGTCACCTGATGGAAGGGCTCAGGTTACAACACCCTGCAGTAACTCACTTGACTGAACTTAGCCACTTGGAGTCACAGATAACAGCATCAAGAACAGTAACATCTGCTGATTGGTTTCAGGAAGAGTGATCAGAAAATCATTTGGGAACTCAACATTGCACAAACAACCTCTGTGATGGTGAAAGAAAAGTGTGGTTTGGCCAGTAACAGGGTCTAAGTGCCCCCTTCACCATTCTTTCTCACACAGTAATGAAAGACTTTTAGAGTTTATTAAACCACTATTTCCTTTTACATCTGAACTTGGAAACTGTGGTTTAAGTGAGACAACCAGACCAGTCAGTCTACATGATCGTGAATTCTAGTCCAAGATGAAAACATGGCATGAAATATCTGTAAATGAGGCAAGGTTGTATGAGAGTGCACTTCATGCACAAAGGCAATGGAAACAGTTGCCAATTTCTAGGACACCATTAGTATGCTGTGAATGTTTAATGATTCTCTATGTATGAGTTTTGAGTGAAAATACTAGTAAATTATTCAGACTTGCTTTGAAGGGGATTAAACTCTACCACAGAACACCCATGCAGTTTATACAAGTATTATACAGCAGAAATTCAAAGGAAGAGGGACTTACTATTTTTGAGGGTGGAAGGTCTGGCAAACTTTTCTGAGGAGGAGACAAATGCTGTTCCACTTCCCCATTGGTCAAGAAGTCTCTGAAACTGGGCACTATGTCCAAACAGAAATAACAACATGGAAAACTGCCCATTATACAGACCATTCTCAGTAACATTCTTAGATGCATGCTGCACTTTTAGTTTGGAAGAAGTCTAGCATTACTTAGCCTATTTTTGACCACAAAAATGGCATTTGATACTGCCTCCAAGGGGACGGCAAAAAAAAGTACAGTTAAAAACACATTCTCTTGCTAGTTGTGGGTTTATTGGTGCACTTTCATTTGCACTGAAAACTGCAAAGACCAAGTTGACTTAAAAATAATCTGTCCACTTGCCAGGCAAGGCTGATGTCTATATTGAGCAGTCCTACATATTCACCCTGTCATTACTGTTGCTGAGGATGGATCATGCTTTCAGACAACTTGGCCTTTTCCTAATTCAAGTAAGCAGAACTTGAGTCTCAGCAGGTGGGTAAATCTTTCCATCTGATTTTTCAGCTAGTTTGCCAGTGAATGAGGCTTTGCTGCAAGAATAATTCAGGAATCCATGTAATATTGATGTATCCAGGCAAGAAAGGAAAGGCAGTAAATGGTTCTGGCTATTTTGACAGCAAATGGAACTAACTCTCACCCATTCTTCAGAGTGTGCCTTTAAATGCAGACAAATGAGTACTAACCACACAGTGGATGCTTAAAACACCAGCGTTGTTACCTGAAAATTTTATCACATCATGGTTGTAACCATATGTAAAGGCAGCTGTCTCCAGCCAAAAGGTAAAGCCAGCCTTGGGTTTTCTGGATGAATCCCAGGGGGCTTAAAACTATGGAATCCTAATCATAAATAGATAACATAAACAGTCCCCAATATCTTCCAGTGTGATGGTATACTCAAGAGCACATGTTTTCCCCTACATCACAATTATTTTCATGTAGGGAAAATGCAGCATCTGAAATGAAATTGTGCTTCCTACAAATATCCCGAGCAAAACAGTCACTGAAAATAGGAGCATTCCAAACTTGCACTGCATGGTGGTAGCCATCAGGATGTTACACATAGCATTGGGATGAATCTGGCATGAATGTGGCTGTATACTTATACTATTTAAAAATAAAAGTTAGAACTGCCAGACTGCATCTGGGAAGCCACAATAACAACTCTGCATTTTGAAATGGATTTCTGGCATAAGAGGGGAAGCAGCCAAGCAAAATCCAGAATGTTCAGTGATGTTATTAGGCCAACAAATTAGACATCCGCTTCCTTTCTGGGATTTCCTGGTATTTGCTTTTTCACATCTTAATTAAGTGGCACCTGGTAGCAGCACTCTGTCCTAAGTTTCTCTATCTTTAATTTGCAAACTGAAAGTGTTTGTGTGCCAAGCCCAGGCAGGCTGCTGTAAAAGTGAAAACGGGTAAATGAAATGGACAGTGTTTACCATGGCAACTGGTAAACTGTCTGTGTTGTTAGAACATACTGGACCAGACCAAAGGTCCATCTCCAATATTCTGTTCACCCACAAGTCGGACATGGGTGAATAGCACCCTGCTGCTCCTTATTCCCCAGCAACACTTGTAATAACAACAAGACAAAATGGTCCTTCACAGTAGATGCAGTTAACAAAATCCTAAGTTAAGGATGAATATATACAAGGAAGGGCACAATCCAATGCATGTTCACGCACATGCGCGCGTTCTATAATTCCTTGCATGCCTTTGCCAGCACTGTTGATTGGGGCATGCTGGGAATTACAGGAATTTTCTGTCAAAGCATGCATAGGACATGCCCTAAAATGGTTTGATATTACAAGGCTAAAGCCATGATAAGAAAAATAAATATGTTGCAATGTACAAATAAAAACTTGAATGTGTAAGGGCTGGATGCTAAGGAGCCCACATCTTGTAACATATACAAAGACACAACTAATAATGTACACAACATTAAAATCAGACTATATAAAACTTGTTCAGTATTGTGATATGCATTCCTCTGTTATAATAAATCTAACATTCCCAGCAACTGGCATATCTAAGCATTTCCCCTGTTACTGGAGGCAACATTGCCAGTGGACTAGTAGCCACTGATAGTTGCATCCTCCAGGAATGTGTCCTCTCCCTTTCTAAGGTCATCTGAAATGCAGCACAAAACTGCACCTTGTGGTAGTGAATTCTATACTATGCCCTGTGTGAAGAAGTACTTCCTTTTCTCTATTCTGAGTCTCCCATCAGTCAGCTTGATGGGAATGAGTTCTAATATGATAAGCAAGGGAGAAAAATGTTTCCTTGCCTGCTTTCTCCACAGCATACAACATTTTGTACAGCTCTAACATGCTCTTTTTCATTTGCCCTTTCTCTAAGAAAAACAGTTTCAGATAGTGCTATCCTTTCCTCATAGGGGAGTTGCTCATTTTATCTGCCCACTTCTACACTTTTTCCAATTCTACAATATCTTTTTCAGGTTCCTTGGCTAGACCTGTCCAAGTATGGCCACACCTGATTCTTATAAAGGCAGAATGATATTGGCAGTTTTATTTTTAATGCCTTATTTATGCCTCACATGAAGTTGTCTTTTTCACAGCCACCTTACATTTTCATTGAACTGTCCACCACAACTCCAAGACTTCTTCCTTGGTCAGTCACTACTAGCTCAGATCCTACTGGCATATAAGTCAAGCTGGGATCTTTTGCTCCAGTGTGCATAATTTTAGACTTAGTGATTCTTGGTTACCATGCTCAGGAATCACATCCTTCAAGAAAATCCATGCCTGGAAAATCCAAGCTTCTTGGCACAGGAAGACTTTCCTGATTACAGAATGCCATTCCTCCTATCAAATGTTACTCATGATATCCTTCTGGTTTACTATGTTTGCTTGAAGTAAAAGGCACTGAATGTGCCAGTTCCCTGTGATTTACTGTTTGAAGAGGTATGGGGTATTTTTTCATAATGCAGATGTATGCTATATCTTTACATTCAAAAGAACATGCAAGGAAAAGTTTGGAAATTGCTGTATCTGCATGCGATATTATTCAAGTGTTCTATTCATAATTTGCCAGAGCAGATACAGAGCATTCTTGCACAATATTGCAAAAATAAAGGACTATGGAATGCACTCCCCAGAGAGGTTCACCAGGCGTTGACTTTACACTCCTTTCAGTGCCAAGTAAGTAAAAACCTTTTTATTCACCCATCATTTTAAGCATTAGGGATTTTAAACAGTTTTTAACATCTACAGTCGCATTTTGTTTTTGTTTTTTTTTCTATTTTGTTTTTGGTTATGAATGTTATTTATCGTTTTGTTATCGAATGTCTTTCTTAAATTATTTTAACTATTATTTATTGTAATTATTATTACTGTAATTGTTATTGGTTTTAATTATTGTAAGCCATTCTGAGATGTTTTTCTGAATTGGCCAGGGTAAAAATATTTTAAATATATAAATAAAAATTGTTCATGAATCAAAGCTATCAAGGAACGCAATCTAACATGATGACTTTTACACTATATGGCAGCTTTATCTCCCATGTGAGTGATGACCCCTGTGTTCTTAGGATGTCACAACTTCAAATGATGTTGTGGACTGACACTCACAACTACACAGCTAGGTAACAAGCATGAGAGCCAAGAAGGATCCTGGGAGTCACAGACGAAAACCTCTGGAGAGCCACAAATTGCCTATTTCTCCTCAACAGTACAAAGCCCATGGGCACTGTAACTGTGAATATGCTACATGTGACAAATCATTTGTAGTAATCAGGACCCAATTGTTTCGTATGCTGTTCTCCTGTTTTTTTAACCACATACACTGCATTAATATTTATTTATTAATTTTAAAAAGTGAGGGTTTGTTGAGAGAAGGAACTTGGGTTGCATTTTTTGGCGGAATTCTGCACGTACTATTCCACACAAACTGTCATCACACGTGAGGTTTTGCATACAAGGCTGCTAATCATCTGTACTGACCTTCCATTTCATTTCAGAACTAAGAACTGAACACTTTCTTTCCTGTTTTTCCACTAAAGCAGCACAGTGTTTTGATGAAAGAGGACACATTCACAAGTTAAAATAAAATTGTTTCTTTCACTTGTGCAATTATAATATCTCATCTTGCCGACTCTAAAAACATGCGCAGAAAGTGGTCTTTAGTCACAGAAGTAAAACTGGAGAGGCACATTGTGATCTAAAGAACCTCTGAATGAATAGCGAATGATGAGTGTACAATAAAACCCTAAATGAAGGTATCATTAGCCTTAGGCACCTTTGCCTGCTATTATCTGAGAAATTAGTTCACAAGCAAGGAAAAACCTTAAATTCCTACCTTTGTCTGCTTTCTCTGGTTCACTCTGTTGTTTATTGATGGTAACCTTGTTCATATAAATATATTCCTCATCACCACCTACAAAGTAAAAGCTCCTTATTACTTTCTGTATACTCATAAAGTATGGTGTGCATGTGAAGCAAAACAAGCACAAGGAATCAATTACTGGAAGACTGTTTGTTTGTTTGTTTGTTTGTTTATTATTTATTTATTTAAAACATTTTTATGCTGCCCCCATCGCACCAAAGCCTTGGGGCGGCTCACAACAAAACAAAATACATAAATATAACAATTAAACAGTAAAAATATTAAAACCCGGTGCATCTCAGCTTAAAAGATTTAAAATCCTATAAACACAAATAAATTAACAATTAAAATGAGTTTTAAATAAAAAGGTCTTAGCCTGGTGCCGGAAAACAAATAACGACGGCGCCAGGCGGACCTCTCTGGGGAGCGCATTCCATAGATGGGGCGCCACCGCAGAGAAAGCCCTCCTCCGGGTACTCACCCTCCTAATATCACTCACAGAGGGCTCCCAGAGAAGGGCATCTGTAGCTGATCTCAAGGGGCAGGAGGGCATATATGGACACAAGCGTTCCTTTAGATACATTGTTAATAACATCTTTGCTTTCCCCTTTCCCTGAATTACTAGGAAAGGCTGGTCTTCTCATTTACAGCTAAGTAGCATCATGAGTGAATTTTCTCTTACAAACCTTCTCTTTACTGGACCCCAGAGATTCTGTGCACTTGCAAGGAATTCTAATTTGTGGTTGGATATTTTTTTCAGTGACTCTGTCCTTGGTAAATTTATCTTTGGATCAGTGTTGCCAATCATATGGTTCAAGAAACTCCCAAAGGAAGACACAGAATTGACCAGAACAAGTGACATCAACTTGATTAAGGGCTATTTGTATTCTGTCCTCAACTGGTAAATATTTGGGCTTTGCATAGCAATTTGGCACTGAATTGGACTTTTGATGGCACTCTTTACAAACATCCCCCCTCTGTACCTATTTGAGAATGTTTGTGTGTCAGTGCATGTGTTGCATGTAAACATACATCTCTGCATATAAATGCATATATAATGCAAACACATTCCTTGCCAACTCAGCATTACATGCGTCTGACAAACTAGATTCCAATTTATGAACATCTGTGGCCCAGTAAAGTCATTTGTCTTTAAGCGAACAATGTTCTCTTGGCTGTTTTTATATGCAATTTGGGACATCACAGATAAGAATCAATAGGAATGGGGAAGGTACTCTGTGTGGGTACAAAAGAAGTATACATAGGCCATGACATCCATTCTTCTAAAATCATGACTGCACCCACCATTTGATTTTGTGCACAGTCGAAGGAGGTCAGCAAGAAAGCTCTTTTTCACTACAGCGGTGCTGCTAAGGTTCTCCTTATCTAGTATCTTCAGAAAATCTTCAAGTTCTGTGAGCAGCTGTTCCAGAGCTGAAGTAGACCAAACAAAACAAAACAAAACAAAACAAAACAAAACAAAACATACAATGTTTATTATGCACTGCCCTCTGGTTGATTTATCATATTTGTTATATTCACGTTAGGCCTTTCTTTCAGGGAACCCAAGGCAGCTTTATATTTCAATTAATTGCATCACATCGCATCGCATCGTCATACAATCCTGTGAGGCAGGCTAGGAAGTGACCCAAGTTACTCAGTGAGCTTTGCAACCAAGTGGGAACTAGAATAAATGAAAGATTCCCCGACCCTCAAAATGACCCAACCTTTTCTGAATCCCTTTGCATGTAGAGAATTTGGATTAAATCTCTATGTTTAACGAAACTCTCTGCTTTTACTATCAGTTCATTCCATGATTTCAAGTTTCTCATGCAAAAAAGAGAGAAAGAGACTGTATTCCCAAATTGTTGGATCTTGTTGCAGATGTCTCAGTTTCTTCTCTATGGCGTGACAAAATCTCTTTCAACACAAGGGAGTCTTTTCAAAAGTGCAAAGGTGAATATTGCATATTCATTAGAAAATAGGTGAAATGTAAGACATGAAACCAACATGAAGAGGCCTGTGGCACTTTATGGACTAAAAATATATTATGGCATTATCTTTGGCTGGCTACATCTGACAAACTGGACAACAGTCCACAAAGGATTATATCATAATAAATATATTAGTCTTTAAGGTGCTAAAAAACTGTTGGTTTTGCCACAGTAGATGAACATGGCTTCCTTTCTGGAAATAAGAGATGGAATTTCTCTAATTCAAAGTTGGCACAGTTCTTTGTTGATCTTACTTTTGTTAGAGTTTGTAATAATATTTATGTTTCCTTAAACATAACTTTAAACCTTTATTCAAAATCCTACACTTTAGTTCTCAGCTGGTCATTTGCTATTAGGAGTAATTTCCACCATATTTATCTCTTCATCATCTTCTTTTTTAAACGCTGACACAAGGACAATGTGTGAGAGGCATCATTATTATATGTTGGGATTGTATGGCTAGCTGTGCCTGAAGCAAGTATATGTGAAGCTGGGTACTCTTACATGATTTAGTTCCCTGGAAACAGAATGTCTTCCTGTTTTCAGCCTGCATCACAACAACCCAGTTTGCATGCCATGACAGCCCACCACAGACAGCAAGTTATGAAAGGTTGTCATGTCATCCGAACCCTGGCTCAGTGTGGCTTGTTCCCTCCAACCCCAACACACATACCCCCAACAAGTCACCTGGAAAACCAATGTTCTGTAACAAGGTCTGTTTCACCCATGTGGGTTGGCATGTCCTCTGAAGCCACTATGCACTATGGGAAATGGTAAGCAAGCTGCTTGGCAATAGCAGCAAATCTCTTCCAAGCTTTGACCAAGCCACAACCAGTGCCAGCCACCCCACTAATTCCACTAGTTCCAAGTGGCATGTGGAATGGATTTCATTGGTTTGTTGCCTCCCACCACTATTTTGGTTCCCATGGCTTTCCCCCCATTCCCTACCCACATCAGGTTTCAGTTATGGATGCATATGTCCCTGTGAAAAACCACGGGGGACCCTATCAAAAATCCCATCTAAAAGGATCCAAAGTTTTCACAGCCATCCATCCAACCTCCATGCTTCAGCCAAATAGGGTGGGCTAAGCTTTTCCACCTGTATGAGCACCTAGAATCTCAGGAATGAGTGGAAAAGCTGGGAGCACCTATTTGGGAAACTGGAGAAAGCCACAAAAGCCCTGAGGATCCCAGTGCCCAAACAAATCCCTTCAGGTTTGTGAGCAAAGGTCATTTGCATCTTTATTTTGAATTGACAGCTTTCCTTTTGACAGCTGTCAAGTCAAAGTGCACAACATTGAATCCAAGCCTTTCTAGTAGCTGCTGCATTTTTACAGTGGGTACCATATCCTCTGGAACATCACCCAGGTGAGGATTCCCACTTTCACGCATGTGAAAAATAGTAGAGGGGGGTAAAAAGCTATGGCTAGACAAAATGGCTCCTGAAGGCAGCAGGAAGAGCAGCTTGAACTGCAAAGTCCCCTGGGATGTTGGCTAGCAGAATTGTGTGCACAATTACCTCTTAGGGGCGCACTGTTCCTGCAACAATCAACCCATCATGGGTTATCGGCAGGGTGCAGTGGCATGGCCTGCAAATCTACCCTCATGAAAAGAATGCCTGCTAAGAACTGGTCTGGGCCCCACATCCTAAACTAGGTGGAGTTGTTTTGAATATGTGAAGGAGTGAGAGGGTGGGGAGAGGAATGTCCCTTTTTTCCTAAATATAAGCTTCTCAGCACCCTATTATTTCTATAAGGAGCTACAGAGGGACAAGAGTGTGCATGTACATTTGACAATAAGCCCTCATAGGAAGGAAACAACATAACCTTTCATGAAGGAAAACAAACACACAGAGAATATGCGCATCAAGGGGTGGGAAGTGCAGAGTCAGCCAGCTTTGGTTATACTTGCTTTTGTATTTTCATGCCTACATACACAAAATCAGTTGGTAACTTTCCTCCTATGAATGCTACATGCTGCAGGAGGAAGCCCTGTGGCTTCTGCAGGACCACGAACACCTCCCATCCTTTGAAAAGCACACCATGGTCTCCTGCCCATGGTGTTTGCTGGAAGCAAAGTGAACAAAGGCAGGCCAGGCTGGGCATTTTAGGTGTTATTCTTACTTATTTAGTGGCACTTTACCAAAAAATGAAAAAAGGACAGGTTCCAACCCTGAGGAACTTACCACCCAAACTTTGACCCATAGGAAGTAGTAGAGGGAGAAGAAAATGGAGGCAAGGAAAAGGTCACTGACCCCCCCCCAAATAAAGTGGGGGGAATGGATAGAAAAGACCAAGGGTAGCTAACATTGTACAGAACAGGAAGGGTTCAAAGTGTAATCAAAAGGAGATGATGAAAAGTTTATAGAGTGATATGTATGACCAGGCTCAATGCTTTTTCCTTACCCATGTCATACCCTCAAACTTCTAAGTAGCATGATGTGAAGATTATTTGTGTATGACGCATTGATTTTAACTTTCTTCCAAGGGTTTCAGGTGGATGAACTTGCCTCACCACATGTTTTAATCACAACAGCCCTGTGAGGTAGACTAGGCTGAAAAAGCATAACTGTCCCGAAGTCACTGAGCAGGCCTCTTGACTGAGGAAGGATTTCGCTCCCAGGTCTTCCAAGTCATCACCCAACACACTTGTCAATACACCACACTGGGTTTTGCTTTTTTACTGTGAAATTGCTGACAGGAAGTAGAGTGGTAGCATAGGGAAGAGGCAAAGGGTGTGAGCTATGAAAGAAAACAGCTGGAACATTGAACAGCTCTTAAAGGGACAATTACATTTCTCTGCATCCCCAAATAGCCTCCACTAAACACTAAGGAAAGGGGGTTTTTTGCCAGAGTTCTCCTTTCATACTTCCCTCCACCCTCTTCAAAATGCCTAACTCAGACTTTCTAAACTGACACCACTGACATTCTAGCAGACTTCCTGGGCAGAAGGCACCCAACCTCTAGCTATAGCTGCATTCTTTGTTTGCTCTGGAAAATCAAAAGCCCAGATGATCGCTCCACGCTGATTCCGAGCAAGCCTTCCTTCCAGTCGCAGAATGATGGGTGCTGTCGGCTTGCTGTGGGCTTCCCAGCCTTCCTGCCAGCTACATTCCAAGGCTTACATGAGTCGGCTGCTGTACAGAAAGGGAAAGAAGACTGCGATGACAGCAGGAGAAAGCTATTCTCCCTAACTGGGAAGAGAAACAGATGTGTTGACGGTGGCAGCTGAAACAGCTGGATGGATTTTGAGAGGAGGCAGAGCTTCCAAAAGGAACAAAACATACGTTTATTCTAATGAGCAGCCTCTTCTATGCCACCAGCCCTCAGGGGATGGCAGTGAAGAATCAGGAAGGCAACAGTGAGTTCTCTACAGCTAGAAGGATGGAAATGATATTCATGCTCCTTGTCACTGATGCTGAGATTAGTAAAATCAGATACATATTTGGAAGTAATGTCCCCATTTTGATCTCTGATCCTTTTCTACTTTCTTCCCTGAAAATAAAAGGTTGAAATAATTGCTAATGGTGTGGAACATGCCATTTCTCACTTGATTCTCTAACTCCTATCCTTGTGGCTATTACATTAGAATGATCTGCTTATTTTATTCATTTATGATTCCATTTATATTCCACAAATCAATAGTCCAAACTGGACTCTCTAGGCTGATTACAAAAACAGAATCAGAACATAAATACCAATAAACTAACAATAAGACTATATATATATATATAAACAATAAACCAATAATATAAACAAAACACTACAATAACAATTCATACCAATATAATATACAGCCAAGAATTTAAATAGTAACATCAGAGCTAAAAAAAACAACCAATATGACTTAAAATTTTAAAACATTAAAAACATTTAGTCCTATGAAACAATTTAGTCTTAACAATGTGCATTATTGTCACCAATGTTAGTTTAATATTTTTAAAACAAAAGCATCTGAACCTTCTACCACACGTATGTTTACGTGTGTGTGTGTGATGTTCTATAGAATAATGGCCCAACATTTTAAAGTACATTTGAAAAGCTTAACTCTGACAAGTGATTAATTATTCCCTAGATAAGAGACTCATAACAGATCTGCAAACATAAGGCAACCAGTATCCAAACGGCTAAGAAAGATCTAATTAAAAAGGGATAATCAGATGTTGATATAATCAAGATTATTAAGCAGAAATCTGCATGGAGAACTTGACAGCAATGACATCTGGCTGAACTGGCAAGACGTTCTGAATAAATGTATCTGCTGTTTGATTATTTATAAATATATTTAATAAGTAAAATAATTATACTCATAACCAGGGAATTTGTCACAGCAGCTTTTGTCAGTCTCGGTAGTGCAGAGGCAAAGCATTTTCTGAAGCACAACATTTCACAGTTTGTAAAACTGCTAGGGATTGTCACTGGCAGAAGAAGGGGGAGACCA